GGTGGGCCAATACTACCACATGACATATCTCTACCAACTAGAGGCCTAGGAACATGAACCATAGCTCTAGAAGCTTCTACAACCCTCTATGATTCATTACACGTCATCGCTCCTTAGTTACCCACAAGATTAGTTAAGTTATGACATAATTTATCTATAGGTACTCTGACCTTGGACCTCCTTTTCACTTCCTATAGGCTAGGAACCCAACAGATGGTTCTATGGGATTCTCTTACATTCGCTACATGATTAGCAAGCTAGTTGTGGGTCGCACTTGATTTCTAATACATTTACCAAGCCTGGTTAGTCATGGAAAGTCATGGAAAATGAGAGAACTACACTCCTTTGGCATAAATAGGATTGCCCTTTCCTTAAGAAAGGGCAAGCAGGCAATACAGTAAATCGACTAGCACATACTTCTACGTCTTTTCCAAGCTTCCAAGCATTGATCTTGTTATTCTCTGTTTTTGAAAAGTCAGTGAGGTGCTAACCTCTGACTTACCCCTGAGTTCTCAGACTCAACATTTGTTGCAACTTGTCTAAACCACTTCACCACATCATACACCTGATTGCTGCATTGTGGAATAGTCTAAGCTACAACCCTTTGGCTCTGTTTCCTAAGACAGTGTGTTGTCTTAGTAAATTCATCCCTTCCTTGGGTGGCTAGATTCTCATATCTGGTGCACCCACCATTACATCATACTACCACATGACATATCTCTACCAACTAGAGGCCTAGGAGCATTAACGATGGCTCTAAAAGCTCCTACGAACCTCTATGATTCATTACATGTCATCGCTCTTTAGTTACCCACAAGATTGGTTAAGTTATGACATAATTTGTCTATGACATAATTTGTCTATAGGGGTACTCTGACCTTGGACGTCCTTTTACTTCCTATAGGCTACGAACCTAAGAGATGGTTCTATGGGATTCTCTTACGTCGACTACAGTTACCAAGCCTGGTAAGTCATGGAAAGTCTTGGAAAATGAGAGAACTACACTCCTTTAGCATAAATAGGATTGCCCTTTCCTTAAGAAAGGGCAAGCAGACAATACAGTAAATCGACTATCACATACTTCCACGTCTTTTCCAAGCTTCCAAGCATTCATCTTGTTACTCCTTGTTTCTGAAAAGTCAGTGAGGTGTTAACCTCTGACTTACCCCTGAGTTCCCAGACTCAACATTTGTTGCAACTTGTCTGAACCACTTCACTACATCACACACCTGATTGCTGCGTTGTGGAATAGTCTAAGCTACGACCCTTTGGCTCTTTTTCCTAAGACAGTGTGTTGTCTTAGTAAATTCATCCCTTCCTTGGGTGGCTAGATTCTCACATCTGGTGCACCCACCATTACAGTTAGGTGGCCAAATACCTGCATCTCTAAAAGACTTGATACAGTTACCCTTTGTAAATGTCTGCTTACGGATAGTAGACAAGTCTCTAAAGAAAGATATAACATTATAATCTGTATCAAAATTCTGGATTGCTTGTTGAATTGCACGTCGGTGCCAATGTTTATATTGTGCAAACACAGTAACATCTAGCGGTTGTAGAATATGCGTAAGATGAGACGGAAACACATGAGAGTCCATTATTAACAATTTCGTTCTTATAGACGGTGTATGTTGAATAAAATGCTGTAGACATTCCATTGCAAGCTCAGAGTTTGTATATCCATTCCATGTGTAATTTTCCTTGTATAATAAGGAACGGTGGAAGTGCAATGCCAGCAGCTGAAATTGTCTCTATAACTGTAAGACTTTGTCTGTTCTCTGGAGCTTGTATATAAAGCTATAAATATTAGAATAATATAAAGTAAGATAAGTAGAAACAACTTACCTCCTTTACTGCAGATGGTACCAACACATGTTCACCGGTGCTCATTCCTACACGGAATCCAACTTCATCAAAGTTGTAGATATCACCTGCAGTAATATCTAGTTGATTACACACATCTTTAAATTCATAAAACCATTCTTTAATAGCTGATACTTCATGAGATGCAACCCGTGCTGCTTCAATTGGCCGGGTTTTTATTGTATGGAAGTTGTGTTGTTGTGTCTTAATCCATGTCTGGAACCACCGTTGTGATGGTGGTGCACGTGTTGGAGTTTCTGCTGCACGTAGTTGGCAGATGGCACTGAACACCATAGGCTTAGTTGCACCGTACCCATTTTCGTGTATCTTTGTATAGCTGTAACTTGTACATCAGACAGTACTCTGTTCTGGCCTCCGCGTGGCACAGCGGTGCGTTGTGGTGATGCGCGTCGTTGTCGTAGTCGTATAGTCCGGAGCGTACTTGGGTTTACTCTGTACATCCGTGCTACTGTAGCACTCTTCTCTGTTGGGTTTTCATTTAAAAATTCAATGGCATTTAAAAGAGCTTCATTTTTATTTACTTCAACTACCGGCATAGTTGTGGTTGTAGTTGTGCTCGTTGTCGGTCATGTTCATGGTCGGTCGTGTCGCGTCGTGAGTCCGCTCCCGAAGTGTCCCACAATCGCTTTCGCGTCCCAGTTCGCTTTCGCCAACCGCCTCCAGGCGGTGGTTTGAGAACCAACGATTATAGCTTGAGCTCGCGTTGCAAGAGAGTATGAAGGCATATTTAATATCTGTATTATCTTCTACTCTACAAAATACGAATTGTTAGCCCGGCAAGGACTTTTGGTACACGCCTCCGTAGAGGGTACATAGGTCAGGCAGGGCAGGGTTGGTGCTCGTAAGTGGTGGACATAGTATGTACGTACATGTACATAATACATAATCACAGAAGTCGCATGGAACATTGGTTACGGAGCATGGGTACGTGTCAACGGTGCACTGGAATGTTCCATGCGACTTTTGTGATTATGTATTATGTACATGTACCTACAGATACTCTACTCCGTATACTATGTCCACTTCTCTGCTCGTCGTCGGAACTCTCCGCTTTGCGAACCCTCGGCATCCTCCACCTTGACATCCACGGTTATCGTGGTCGTGATACCGCCACCGCCACCGCCACCGCCGCCGCCGCTCTTTCCCCTTGTGCCTGTCCTCGTGTCTGTCCTCTGAGCCGTGACGTTGCTCTCGGTACCCAGAATCTCCTTCTGGCTGCTCGTGTCGCTGGTGTTGTCGCGGTCGTGCCAGCCTTCGGCGCTCGCGCGGTCTCGAGAGGACTTGAGGGCTTGCATCGCATTGGCGCTTCCATTCGTGCGTTCGCGACTGGCGCCGTGGGTGTAGTAGGATGTCTTTTCTTTGAAGTAGGTGGAGAGCGGCGCGAGGGTGGGGATGCATGTGAGTGAGATCTGGAGAGGGTCAGCTTGTGTTATATTATCCAGAAAATGAAGGAAGTACGCACGCCGACGTTCATCTCGATTGATCCCCAGAGGACGAGCATTGTAGAATTGCCCGTCTTGGCGATGGTCATAATCTGAACCATGCGCATGATGGAGCAGATGGTCGTGAAGATGCCGAGTAGGAAGATGGCCATCAGGGCTATCTTCCGCCGGATGTTGATCTGGAGCGAGTAGAGGAGGGGAATGGGCAGCACTAAGATTATGCAGTCGAATATGATGCTGTTGGCGGCTAGAGCGTAGAAGGTGGTGTCGTTGGGGAGGCAGGAGCCGGGCGTTTTGGGAAGCCATGATTTGTGAACCTGGAAGGCATGTTAAGACGATAACTATGAGCAAAATGATAATTTGGATATGTACCGGCTTGCATTGGAAGATGAGAACGAGCGTCCCTCCGAGATGACCAAGAACGCAGGTAACGAGGACGACCCAGACGAATTTCCGATATGTCTTGTTCGACTTGTTCAGAATGCGAAGATATGAAAGGCAGAGGGCGACTTTGAAGCCGGTGATGCCAGCCATGTAAAACGGTCTGCCTGCGAAGTTGATCTAATCATGCCTTGTCAGCTGGGGAACTGTATGGATATAATTGTCCAGACTCACAACTGAGTATTTATCGAGGTTTTCTTTCGGCCTGATCGCAATATCGAGCCCGAGGCCCCATCTCGACTCTACTCTTTATTAGCAGATACACGATGCGAACGCCCGCTGCAGAACTCACGGGAAATGCAGAGACCACTGTAAATAACGCTGCAAATCTGTCATATCCAAATCAGCACTGCGCCAAAATCAGCCACCGCTCGGGGGCGCCTCACCGCCGAGAACAGGATAACCCAATCGTCCTGCCCCACGGCCTTCACCATCGCAACGCGCACATATCCACGCAGCGCAACCGTAAAAACCATCAGCCCCGTGAGTCCCAGCACCACGCCCAGGATGGACGGATACTGCGACTTGGCCAGCACTTCCGGACTGGCATTGTACACCCACTGCATCGTTTGCGCGGAGAATCGACGAGCCCAGGAGATGATGGGATGAAGATAATAAAAAAAGTTCCACGTCCGTGAGATCTTGACGACGACAGAGCCGTGATAAGATAGGCTGGCCGCCGGCCCCGAATCCCACATTCCACCGTCTAGTGACCTGTCACCATGTTGGTTTGGGGGGGAGCAGCTGCCCCCCCACCAATCTGCGCCCACGCCCTGGGAATACCCCTGAACAAACCAGCCAGTTCTTCGGCATCAACCTCGAACAATACATGGTGATCTGCATTCACATATCCTTCTCGGTTACTAGCAGCCCTATGAACATGTCTTCGGTTCGGAAAGCGTCTTGCCGGGCGAGCATTGGGCGGGGAGTGCCTTATTGGCGGCTAATGGCAAAATCACATCGAAAGCGCCTCTCGCGAATGAAGCAATGAAGCCACAATATAACTTGCTCGCAGCTAAATTGGTGGCGCTTGCATCCACCATCTACTCTGCATATCTGGCGATGGTTGATCCTGCAATTGGAAGTGCTGGCGCCGCGTTCTGGAAGTGATCGTCGCGAGGATGTCACCTTGGAAGTGCTGGCGCCGCATTCTGGAAGTGATCGTCGCGAGGCGGATGCAAAACTTTCGCTCCGCCGCCGTTGCTTTGTTCCCTGATCGCCCATATTGCGAGGGTCATGGGGACCGGAGGAGCGAGGGAGCTGGTGGTAACGTACGTATCAGCGCCAGCAATGACTAAAACATTGCTGAGCACTCCAACTCAACTCGGGATATCTCAACAAATATTTCGTCCATGCACTCCTTCATGGCACCTGTCGTACCTATCTCGCACGTGTCTAAACCATCCCCCCCAACCCCACCCCCAGGGTCGTGACTTCTTTGCAGTGTCACGCTGCAATTTATTCGCGTCGTCGTAAAAATAAAAAATCTCCTTCTCCTGCGTCGCTGTTTTTGCAATTGCGTTGTTGTGCTATTCACTCGTTTTGCAATAACACCGGAGGCGTCTACCATGGATGAGAAAGATGTCGGTCCCAGGCGACGAGACCCCCAGCATTGATGGGCAGTCGACCCATTCGCCTGTGGAGGGCAGCATCGAAAGCAAAGATCTCGATAAGGCGTATCTCTACCTCAATCACCAGAGCGAGGCCGCTGAGACAGTTGATCTCAAGGCTTTGCGACGAAAGATCGACTGGTGGATCGTCCCCATCATGCTTGCATCCTACACGCTGCAGTTTATTGACAAAGTCGTCATCAACGTGAGTGGTTGGTAGGCAAGGCCATCAGAGACGTAATACTGATTATTTACGATAGTATGCTGCTGTCATGGGAATCACCAAGGACCTAAAACTAGTCGGCAACGACTTCTCAAACGCCGCATCCGCCTTCTTCATTGCATACCTCATCGCCGAAGTCCCCAATGGTTAGTTCCTTTCCACATATTGCCCTCGCACATACTGACAACCCCAGGCTACTTCCTCCAAAAGGTCCCCGTTGCCAAATGGCTCGCCGCCAACGTCTTCCTATGGGGCGTTGCCACTGCCTGCACCGCCGCCGCCTTCAACTATCACTCTCTGCTCGTCGCGCGCATCTTCCTTGGCATCTTTGAAGCCTCAATAGCACCCTGCCTCATGCTCATCAGCAGCCAGTGGTACACCAAGTCCGAGCAAGCCCCCAGATTCAGCTTATGGTACTGCGGTCTCGGCGTTGGCCAGATCATCGGTGGCATTGTCTCCTTCGGCTTCCAGCACGTGGAGCACTCGAGCCTTAAGGGATGGCAGTTGATGTTCATTGTCCTCGGCGTCATCACGAGCTTAGTTGGTGTCGCAACATTCTTCATCCTACCCGATACGCCCATGAAGGCCAAGTTCCTCACCGAGGCCGAGAAGGTCGCCCTCCTGAAGCACGTCTCCGTTAACCAGACCGGCATCGAGAACCACCACTTCAAGCTGACCCACATCCTCGAGGTCCTCATGGACGTCCAGATCTGGCTCATGGTCATTCTGACAGTCCTAGTAAGACCCCCCACCCCACCGCCGTCCACCCCTCTCTAAACCACCCCCAGATCTCCGTCTCCAGTGGCGTCATCACCTCCTACTCCTCAACCCTCATCTCGAACTTCGGCTTTTCCAAGCCCCATTCCGCCCTCCTCAATATGCCCGGCGGCATCGTCTCCATCGTCTCGACCCTCGTCGTCGGCTTCGGCGTCCGCCACACCTCTAACCGCTGGGCCTGGATCGTTGCGTGCTGCATCCCCGGTATCCTCGGCGGCGGCTTAATGTCGTTCGCCCCCAAGACCAACCGCGCTGCCCTTCTCGCGGGTATCTACCTCGTCAACGCCATCGTCGCAACGCTCGTCGTGATCTACCAGTGGACTGTCGCCAACTGCGCTGGGCACACCAAGCGCGTCGTCGCAAGCGCACTCATCGCCGGCAGCTTCTCCATCGGCAACATCATCGGCCCACAGACGTTCCAGGCCAAGGACGGGCCGGAGTTCCGCCCCGCGAAGATTATTGTGCTGGCGACGCAGGCGGCGGGCGCGGCGGTTGCGATGGTGCTGTTTGGGTACTATGTGTGGGCGAACAGGAGGAAGGATAGGAAGGGAGCGCCAGCGGCGGGTTTGTCTGAGGGGAGGGACACGGAGGCGGATGCGTGGAATAATAGGACGGATAAGGAGAATAAGACGTTTAGGTATGTGTACTAATTTGTGGGAAGAGGGGGGGGGGGTTGTGTATATACTTCTGTGTTGGTTTCGGTGGAGGGAATATTGGGGCCATCGGAGTGTATTTACCTGCCATCTTCCCTAAATATACTGCCTGATAATAGAGCCAAAGATTTCTCCAGAGCTGGCGCTTCTTACTTGTTTCCAATGTCTCCTTAGTTGGCTGTGACACAAAATCCCACCTGAATCCCTCATGCGCACTGAAGCACCCATCATGTTCTCATCAATACTAGACGCACCTGCGTGAGAGGCGTATTAATTTATAACCCCTGTTGAAGTCCAAGATTGAACCACTGCCACTTCGTAAAAAAGCAAAGATATGAGAACACGAGAGACGAGAGAATAGAAACAACTTAAAACAAGGGGGACGTGACACAAAACAAAATGTGAAACGCAAAAACATGATTTCCTTCGCGCAAGTGCTGCATCAAATAACAAATAACAAGTTATATGGACAACGTCTTTCTCATTCTCTCTGTAAAGATGCTATGATATAGGAAGGAGCATTGTTCGCCCCTTCCTCTATTATAGTTCCCAAGATCGAATGGAGGAAGGAACGAGCAGTGCATTAGCGTATTTGAGCGTATCTGCTGCTGACTGACATGAAGGGATAACTTATGGAGTCGCACGGTAATAAGGCTAACGATAGCCTTGTTACCGTGCGACTCCATAAGTCTGCATACAGTGTGGCCGTTTGCAATGTGAGAAGCGGACTGCATCTATATTGCTGCAGCCACCACCTCAACCTCCATGACCATGATTTGGATATTCAGTTCAGTTACGGCCCCTGGAACGCATTAGCTTTACTAAATGAGTCCTTCTTGATTGCCTTTCTAAGCATGTCGCTAATGACCAAAACCTTTGCAGTCACATCAACTAGAATGATTGCTTGCGGCTCTGGATGTTCTGAGATGGAGAAGATGATATAGTTGTAAAAATGGACAACTACGTGTATGGTCTTGCTAGTACACGCACCATCCCACGAGAGGAAGTTGTAAATTCGGTTGACTCGCCATTAAAACGATAAAGTGCACAACTCGATGCCACCGCAATTAGCACATCCTGACGCTCTCGGGCGCTACCATGAAAAATTCGTACCACTGGAGGAGGGTAATATCGAGCAGTACGTCGCCACATGTTGTTCATTCTTGCCGCCCATCGTAAATATTAAAACGTATGTCGACGTCACAACTAACCCGTTAATATCTGTTGCCACGAAGAGTTTGGTAACATATTTCACATACGAGTGACCACCACAAGAGGTAGCAAGTAGGACTGCTCGGCAGGTGGGCTCTAAGGGCCGGCCAGCAACGGCGCTGTGGCTGATGTGAGAAGGTCGGATATAATACCTGTACGTGCGAGAGGCGCCAGGAATCAATTAAGGTGGTGGTGGTGGTGTAGTAGTAGGAATAGCCATATTTTGGTTGTTTTTGTGGCCACTCGCTTGGGGTGGCCACTCGTATGTGAAATACGTTATACTCGTATCAGGAATCATATACACCAAATAGCATTGATGTTATATAAGTGTACTAAGTTACATGGCCCTTCTCTAATTTTCTCTGCCTTCCAATTTATCATCGGGCGCTATATATAATATTCGTCAAAGTCTGGTAAATCCTTGTTTAGAACGTGCTTCAAACCCGGCATAAATTCCAGCTCATAACATCCAGCTCGTCAAATCGGCTCATCCCGAGGCTCAATCATCACTTCGTTCACTGCAACATGCTCCGGCTGTCTCAGAGCATATACAATCATGTTCGCAACATCCTTAGGATCGAGGACCTTTGCCCCCGACGGCTCCCCGTACTTCTTGAGAGCCTCCGCATCGGTCGACATTGACAGGAGCTCCGTGGCAACGTTTCCAGGCTGGACGCTAGTGACACGCAGACCAGTGCCGGCTGTCTCAACACGCAGGCCTTGAAGTGTTGCTTCGACGAAGAACTTACTTGCCGAGTACACAGCCAGGCCCGGGAAAACCTTCCTGCCTGCATCCGAGGATATGGCAACGATGTGGCCCTTGCCTCGGGACAGCATCGATGGGACAGTGGAGGACAGACAATTGAGTAGGCCCTTGCAGTTCACATCGACAGTGCGTTCCCAATCCTCGGTTTGCACATTTGCCATCATGGTAAAGTACATGACACCAGCGCAGGAAACAAAGATATCAACTGGGCCAAGAATCTCCTCGGTAGCGCGCACTAGTGACTCAACCTGCTCCTTCTTCGTGACATCGGTTTGGTGGACAAGAACTTTACCTCCGTAGGTTGTGATCTTCTTTTTAAGAGATTCGAGAGCGTCGGTGCGGCGCGCGGCAAGTGCGACATGAGCACCTTCCTTGGCTAGAGCAGCAGCGGTCGCGGCTCCGATTCCAGACGATGCGCCAGTGACGACAGCCACGAGTCCGCTTAATGGCCCCTTCTTTGGAAGATTCACAACCCCATTCAACTGTTGCAGACGTAAAGGTTGACGTGGCAGCCAACCTCTGGCGTACCAGTTGCGAGCATAGGTCTCAAGCAACTTTACGTCGATTTTGGGACGCTCTAGAGCGCTAAGGACGGGCTTCGACTGTTCGTCGCCGAGAATCGTGATATCCTTCAGGAATTCTACGGTTGGCATTCCACCACGGAGAATGTCGGCGGTGAAAGCACCGGCCCCTCTCTTTGCAGAGCCTCTTTTTTGTGTCCAAAGCGAAACCCACTTCTCCCATTCAAGTGGCTCTGCGGGGTATCCGAGCTCAGCGAGGTTATCAAACAGCGACTTGGTCTCCACGGGGTTGGAATCCCCAAGATGGAACACACGCTGCTTTGTCTGAATATTATTGGAGATAGTAGTGACGGCCTTGCTAACGTGGTCGACTGGGGTCATCTCAGCGCGCCATCCGGCGATATCTGGGTAATACCCGAGATGCAGTGATTCCACGAGCAGTGCAGTGAAGAGATCGTAAGTATTGGTCGACCCCGAAGTACTATGGCCGCTGATGGTTCCACACCGTAATATTCTCACCGGCATCCCACGGCGACCTGCCTCGTGAACGAGCTCCTCGGCAACATATTTCGTCTGTCCGTAACCATCACCTAGGCTCTCTGGAACGGCGTCTACTCCAATCATAAAGCTCTCGGGCCATGCCTTCTCGGATGGTGGCAAGACGCCGTTTGTAGATATGTACTGTAGCGTCGCTCCGCTTTGGCCCGCCAGGCGCAAAATCTTTCTTGTGCCACCCACATTGGCATCCCGTAAGGCAGCGTATGGATATACCAGGTTGACGGTGGCCGCAGCGTGGATAATGACTTGGACATTGTCTACAAGCTCCTTATAGGCGCCAATGCCAAGGCCAAGTCGTTTGTGCGAGAGGTTGCCTGGGAGAACCTCGATGCGATCGAGGATCGAGTCCTTCCATAGTCCCAGGTCAAGCAAGTTCTTACGTATCCTTGCGACGCCCGCTGGGGCATCTTCACCTTTGGGGTCAGTGAAGCGCACGAGACACAAGATGCGGGCCGATGTTGCTTCCAGGAGATCGCAGAGTATGAAGGCGCCCAAGAAACCCGTGGCACCAGTTAACAGGACCGTATGGGCATTTTCAAGCGAACACATGGGATGGCCAGCGGGCTGGATACTCTCAGGAAGTGTGCAATCCGCGCGCAGTACAGCGGGCAAATCTGCCTGTACTGCTGCGGTGTGTCCATCTCGAACAGCAAGTACAACGTCCAAGTGGCCCTGGAGCGTGGGGTTCACAACAAGGCGTGCGACTGGGACGAGGAAGCCAAATTCCCTCGACAGCCTTGTGGCAAGATCAGCGAGTGTCAAAGAATGACCACCCAGATCGAAAAAGGTGTGTTCCTTTGTCACGGAGTTGAATGGTACGTTGAGGGATGCAGCCCAAATCTCTGCGATGGCTTCGATGTTGATTCTGGGGTCACGCTCAGTCTTGGTGTGGTTGAAAATGGTTGAAATGGAGACAACTGGGGGAGGCAGTTTCTTGATATCAGCCTTTCCAGAGACTCTGTTGGTGGGCAGCTCGTCAAGTTCAACCCATAGAGCCGGAATCATGTACTGAGCCAGCGACGTCGACAGGGTTCGTCGAGCCACCAGACTGTATCCAGCCTCGTCAACTATGGGGATGGCGCGGTCTCCTGGATCCTCCTTGTCATGTACAATATATGCAACCAGCTGACGATCGAGGCCGTCGCCATGAGCGATAACTGCACATTGTTTGACGGCCAGTTTCTCAATAATGGCATTCTCAACCTTGCCAGGCACGACGGAATACCCTCGGACCTTGATCATAGCTCCTATGCGGCCAGTGATCTCAAGAACTCCAGACGAGAGCATCTTTGCTAGATCCCCAGTTCTGTACATGCGGGAACCCGGGGTTGCATCAAACGGATTTGGCACGAACGCCTCGGCGGTAGTTTCTGGAAGGTTGAGATAGCCCCGAGCAAGAAGCGATCCACCGACGAACAACTCTCCAGGAACACCAGTCTCGACCTTCCTACCGCTCGCATCAAGGATGTAGGTATGCTCCGGTTCCATGGGTTGCCCAACAGGACAGTAAGGAGCCTCTTCGTCAATAATTTCCCGGATATCTCCACAAGCAATCTCGTGGGTTTCACTGGCGCTGTAGCAGTTGAGCAGGCGCGTCTTCGGGAGAGCTTTCATGGCACGGCGGGCAAGATCGGTAGTTACAACCTCGCCATTGAACCATAACGTGCGTAGGTCTGGTAGATCAGATTCAATATCTGGGTGTCTGGAAAGGACTGCAGCAAGAAGAGTTGGTGTCATGAGGGTTTCCGTGATGCGCTGGCGGGAGAGCAAATCCACAAGCGCGACGGGGTCATAACTAGCCTCGTCCGGGACACAGAACACAGTTGCTCCTCTCAAAAGGGGCCGTAAAATTTCCCAGACAAAGAAGACATTGCAAGCCACGCGGTCTCCCGTTGAGAGATCACTGAGGCGGAATCTCAAGTCATACGAGAGCACCGGCGCCATGTGGGGGTTTGCAATCCCCTTGGGTCGACCAGTGGTTCCGGACGAGTAGGACACAAAAGCAAGCCGTTCGAGGTCATCGTCAGCAGGTAAGGGAGAGAGCCCCTCCACGGGTTCTGTGGACTTGTAGGGATCCGTCCCAAGCTTGTCCAGGAGAATGAGGGGGATATCTGCGTTGAACTGGTTGGCCTGAGTTGAATTTGTGATTACGACGGTTGGTTTGGCATCATCAATAACATCCGCCAGGAGATTAGGTGGGTAGGCCAGCTCAAGAACCAGGAAGGCCCCTCCAGCACGGAGCGCCGCAAGACAAGCAATCACATAATTTGAGCTACGCCCCAAAAGCACGCCGACGAGATTATCGCGACCAACCCCGTGGTCACGGAGACGGCTGGCGAGGGCGGTGACTCTTTGGTCTAGCTCGCTGTAAGTCAATTTCGTTGTCTCATCCTCTAGTGCAATGGCATCGGGCGTAGCCAGCATCTGCTGGGCAACCAGTGCCGACAAGTCCTTTTTGATGTCAATGACCTGCATTTGTCTGGGTTTTGTTAATTTGTGAGATGCCGCAGCACTACCGTTGAGAAGCAAAGATCCAGCTTCTGTTATAGGACTTTCCGAAGAACTATGATTTGTTTTTCTGGGTTGGTCATTGGTTGCACCACATTGGGATTTAGCAGCTGAAGCTCCCCCAACCACATCAGAGTTGGAGGTCACTTGCGGTACGCTGGCGTTTTCGGAAGGCATCTGATCGCCTTGCTGAGAAATGGTAAAGTGGGAGTCGGTCAAGGCAAGTTAGGGCGCCTTATCAACACGAATACTCGCCACAGGCCTGGATGCTTGGGAGGTGTGTCGTTGAGCGATAATTATTGACACTCTAAGGTGGGGCCAAGTGGCACTGTGGCGATGATTATCTTGTAGGTCTACAGCATTTCAAGAATGACGATAATGGCAAAACCGCGGTCTTACTAGCTAAACTATGTCCCCTACGTCTTTCTCTCTTGTTTTCTAATTAAATAAATCTACACAATTGGAGAGAGAAATCCTGCGAAAAAATTAAGGATATTTACCATCCGAAGTTTTTCAACTGCCGTATGCGGCTAGCTGATCATGTGACCTTGAATTTAAAAGGGGCCCAGATGTTCGATCATTTTGAGGCCGTTCATTGGTCACCAACAACCTAGGTGCCGAGGCACGTTTTAGAGATAACCTTGGAGAACTTCGAAAGAGCACTTGTAGATTCGAATACTATTAAAAGATTAATAATCATTGCTGTATTGCTAATCGACAGCCTTAATATTTATATTAAGAGAAAAAAGCCGCCGTATATAAGTATAAGCCCAGCGCTCATTGCATAGAAACTTTATTTCATTATTATTATTACAGCATTATGGCTCAATCAACCTACCAATCCGTTGTTCTCGCAAAGCGTCCTACGTCCCTCATCGTCCCGGGCGAGACGTTCACTGTGAAGGAGCACAAGGCCTTAACGGCAGCAGACCTGAAGGATGGAGAAGTCCTGGTTGACACTCTGTACCTCAGTCTCGATCCTGCGATGCGGGGCTGGCTCAACGGTGAGGACTCCCCCACCTCACGTGACACTCACCACTTTTGACCATGCCTCTGATATGCCTCACAGATACGCGCTCATATGTCCCTCCGGTGCAGATCGGCGAGAAGATGCGTGGCGCCGTGATCGCGAAGGTGCTGGCCTCCAAGTCCGCAAAGTTCGCCGAGGGCAACTACGTCACCTGCTCCACCGGCTGGACCGAGCAGGCGATTGCCAAGGAGAAGGAGCTCACACTCCTCGAGGTCCCGGCCGGCGGACAGGTTACAGATGCGCTGGGTGTCTTGGGCATGACTGGCCTGACGGCGTACTTCGGCTTGATTGATGTCGGAAAGGTCAAGGCTGGCGACTTTGTCGTCGTCTCGGGAGCGGCTGGAGCTACGGGAAGTGTCGTGTGCCAGATTGCGAAGCTGAAGGGCGCCAAGGTCCTGGGTCTTGCGGGAAGCGATGACAAGGTCGAGTGGCTGAAGGAGCTTGGCTGTGACGGTGCGCTTAACTACAAGGACCCGAACTTCCGTGCTCAGTTTAAGGAGGCAACGAAGGACTTGATCGATGTTTTCTTTGACAATGTTGGGGGAGAGATCCTCGAGATGGCTCTGTCGAGAGCCAAGGCCCATTCGAGATTCATCATGTGTGGTGGTAAGTTTTCTGTCGTTCGGTGAGCGGGCGATTTTCTGACTTTGTGGCAGCTATCTCGCAGTACAACGACGCCAAGCCAACAGGACCAAAGGTTGTTTCCCTAGACCATCATTTTAGCTTCCATTCAAGACTAACTTCCCCGTAGAACATCTCCATGGTCATTGCTATGCGTATTAGGTAAGTTCCTGTTATCACAGGTTAAAAAGACTTGCAGCTGACAGCCCCCCCAGAATGGAAGGTTTCATCGTGTTCGACTACGTCAAGGAGTTCCCTGCTGCGCGTAAAGAACTCGTGCAGTGGCTCTCAGATGGCAAGCTGAAGCGTAAGGAGACGATTGTCAAGGGAGGACTGCGTGCTGCTGAGCAGGCCCTAGTTGCTCTATACAACGGAATCAACACCGGTAAGTGAACCCCGATTATTTTTCAAGCTTGATTCATGCGGCTAACTTTTGTGTCCGCATAGGAAAGTTACTCGTTGAGGTTAAGGCAGAGAACGCGAGCGGAGGGTCGAGGTTGTAAGTTAGACTCGTCAAAAACAAAGGCGCCTGGGCAAGAGGATTGTCACAGGGGGGTCGATGGACGACCAGAGCCTGTAGATACTTGGTTGGGTATTCAGCTGCTGCCATGCGGGCTTGGATAGCAGCCTTGTAGCAGCCTTGTAGCTATGGTCGTTACATAATTAGAAGTTAAAACTATCAATATCAGCTGACGTGACCAACTGGTATATCAAATTGGACTCACTGCCCCTGTAGCTCTTAACGAGTGCCGCTAGTAAGATAATACCCGAGCATTGCGCCTCATCCATGTCGCAACTGTAGGCCACTTCAGAAGCTGCTCTGCTCCGAAATGATGCAGCATGGGACCCATACCCTACTAGGTACGGATTAGGAATAGACCAGTAGTATAGAATAGAGTAGCCGTATTAGGCAATATAAAAACCATTGGATTGTGATATCTACGCCTTCTAATCGTCGTGAGTAACTGTTATAATACTGTAGCTGCTGTAATACTGTAACTATTCCCATATCCCCATCGATATGGTGAAAATCCAGGGTAAGTACTTACCCCAGATTCTTACTACCATACAAATTAGCTGGTAGAGCCCACGCCCCTGAAGTACCCTTTATTTGATCGATGGGAAAGTAGATATAACATTAGCTACCCCTTTAAATATACAGTATATGAAGCTAGGATATAGTAACGCTTCTTCTATATTAATTTATATATAACGTGCATGTATAACGAAAGTGCCAAACAAGCGAAAGTGCCAAAATCATGTGGTGACCAACCCCACCAACTAAATGTTAAATTCCTCCACAACAAAACATGCGCCATAAAAATGATGAAAGCAAATTAGTGCTAGCTATCCAAGCTATGCAAAGCGACCCAAATTTGCGCCTTCGAGTTGCAGCTAGGATCTATTCCGTAGACCACCGCAAGCTACGTCACCATTTACAAGGCGTACCTTCATGACGCGATATCCAAGCCAACTTACAGAAATTAAGTAACCTAGAGGAATCAGTTCTTGTTCAGTATATACTTGACTTAGCTGCTAAAGGGTTCCCTCCTCAGTTGTCTATTGTTGAAGATATGGCAAATCGACTACTTGCAACACACGACGCGCCACGCGTCGGGTCACGTTGGGCTTCAAACTTTGTTAAGCGCCATGTAGAGCTCCGGACACACTTCCAGCGAAAATACGACTACCAGAGGGCTAAGTGCGAAGATCCAGAAGTCATTCGTGGCTGGTTTGAGCTTGTATGGAACACAATTCTAAAGTATGGCATCAACAATGCAGATATCTACAACTTTGATGAGACTGGGTTTATGATGGGCGTCATCTCAAGCGCAACGGTAGTAACGAGCTCAGATGGGCAGGCAAAGGCAAAAAAGGTGCAGCCTGGCAATCGGGAATGGGTTACAGTAATCCAAGGCGTTAGTTCTCAAGGTTGGGCAGTGCCGCCATTTGTCATTGTGGCAGGTAAAAACCACCTTGCATCTTGGTATGAGAATAGCGGATTTCCAGCAGATTGGGTAATCGCTGTTACTGCAAATGGCTGGACTACAAACGAGAGAGGTATGGATTGGATTCAGCATTTTGAGAAGCACACAAAGCCCCGGAGTGTTGGTGGTTATCGCTTGTTAGTCCTTGATGGTCATGAGAGCCACCACTCAGACAAGTTTGAGGAGTACTGCAAAGAACACAACATTATTACACTTTGTATGCCTGCTCACTCTTCCCATATACTCCAACCACTTGATGTTGGCTCTTTTGGCCCATTAAAGAGAGCTTACGGTCGGCAAATTGAAGATATGATGCGGGCTCATATTATTCACATTACTAAGGATGACTTCTTTCCTGCCTTCCACGCTGCATTTAACATTGCAATGACAGAAAGCAATATTCAGGGAGGGTTCCGAGGTGCTGGGCTTCTTCCATTTAGCCCTAAGAGTGTAATATCTACACTTGACCTTAGGTTTAAGACGCCAACACCTCCAACCTCTCGCCCAAACACCGCTCAACCATGGGTTTCTCAGAAACCAAATAACCCAACTGAAGCTGTATCACAGTCTACTTTCATTAAAAACCGAATTGCACATCATCAAAATAGCTCTCCAACCTCAATCTATGCAGCTGTTGACCAGTTTACAAAGGGTGCATCGCAAATAATGCATCAATTAGCATTGTTAAAAGCAGAGAACCAAAACCTGCGACAGGCAAATGAAGTGCTAAGCAAGCGCCGGAGAGCTAAAAAAACACGACTACAGCAAGGAGGATCACTTAGTCAACAGGTAGCACAGGAGCTACAGGACGAGAGGGACGTTGTGCAGCAAGTAGAGCAAGAAATAAGGGCAAGTAGTGGTCGGAAGCCAAGGGAAGAAACCCATGCACGTCGCTGTGGCAAGTGTGGTGAGACTGGACACAATGCGCGCACTTGTCAGATTGTAATAGACAGGTCTGAGGAAGAGGACTCTGAGTAGTTTTAATTAATTTATATTGTTGTGGTGGATTTATCGCAATTCTTATGGGGTAGTCGCGATATTTTGGCACTTTCGCTTGTTTGGCACTTTCGTTATACATGCACGTTATATAAATATGGATTCTAATGCTCAAGTGCACGCATTGTGTCCAGTCTCACCACACTTGCCACAGCGACGTGCATGGGTTTCTTCCCTTGGCTTCCGACCACTACTTGCCCTTATTTCTTGCTCTACTTATTCTCATTCTAGCGATGGCCGTAATCGTCCAGGATGAAGAGGATGAACGAACGAATATGTCATACTGACATTCGTTGCACTCAGTTTGCTATCAAACTAGAGAGCAAACTTAGAATCTCCTCCTCAAACCTACAAGTCACCATACATATCTTGGCTTATCACACCAACAACAAGAGCAATACTACTCAACGATTGCTACAACCATCTATGATTCATTACACGTCATCGCTCCTTAGTTACTGGGCTGATATTACCACATAGCATATCTCTACAACCCTCTATGATTCATTACATGACATCACTCATACTACCACATGACATATCTCTACCAACTAGAGGCCTAGGAGCATAAACGATAGCTCTAAAAGCTCCTACGAACCTCTATGATTCATTACATGTCATCGCTCTTTAGTTACCCACAAGATTGGTTAAGTTATGACATAATTTGTCTATGACATAATTTGTCTATAGGGGTACTCTGACCTTGGACCTCCTTTTACTTCCTATAGGCTACGAACCTAAGAGATGGTTCTATGGGATTCTCTTACGTCGACTACAGTTACCAAGCCTGGTAAGTCATGGAAAGTCTTGGAAAATGAGAGAAATACATTCCTTTAGCATAAATAGGATTGCCCTTTCCTTAAGAAAGGGCAAGCAGACAATACAGTAAATCGACTATCACATACTTCCACGTCTTTTCCAAGCTTCCAAGCATTCATCTTGTTACTCCTTGTTTCTGAAAAGTCAGTGAGGTGTTAACCTCTGACTTACCCCTGAGTTCTGTAATGGTGGGTGCACCAGATGTGAGAATCTAGCCACCCAAGGAAGGGATGATTTTACTAAGACAACACACTGTCTTAGGAAACAGAGCCAAAGGGTTGTAGCTTAGACTATTCCACAACGCAGCAATCAGGTGTGTGATGTAGTGAAGTGGTTCAGACAAGTTGCAACAAATGTTGAGTCTGGGAACTCAGGGGTAAGTCAGAGGTTAACACCTCACTGACTTTTCAGAAACAAGGAGTAACAAGATGAATGCTTGGAAGCTTGGAAAAGACGTGGAAGTATGTGATAGTCAATTTACTGTATTGCCTGCTTGCCCTTTCTTAAGGAAAGGGCAATCCTATTTATGCTAAAGGAATGTATTTCTCTCATTTTCCAAGACTTTCCATGACTTACCAGGCTTGGTAAATGTATTAGAAATCAAGTGCGACCCACAACTAGCTTGCTAATCATGTAGTGAACGTAAGAGAATCCCATAGAACCATCTCTTGGGTTCCTAGCCTATAGGAAGTGAAAAGGAGGTCCAAGGTCAGAGTACCTATAGACAAATTATGTCATAACTTGACCAATCTTGTGGGTAACTAAGGAGCGATGACGTGTAATGAATCATAGAGGGTTGTAGAAGCTTCTAGGGCTATGGTTCATGTTCCTAGGCCTCTAGTTGGTAGAGATATGCCATGTGGTAGTATTGGCCCACCCCCTTAAGGAGGAGATTTTCTTAATAACTTGTTCAATGAGTGTCCAAATGATATGCCGTGATGTATGTAGCATAAACAGATGTAGTAGAAGAGTTTGCAGCAATCGTTGAGTAGTATTGCTTCTGTTGTTGGTGTGATAAGCCAAGATATGTATGGTGACTTGTAGGTTTGAGGAGGAGATTTCTAAGTTTGCTCTTGAGTTTGATAGCAAACTGAGTGCAACGAATGTCAGTATGACAAGTTCCCAGACTCAACATTTGTTGCAACTTGTCTGAACCACTTCACTACATCACACACCTGATTGCTGCGTTGTGGAATAGTCTAAGCTACAACCCTTTGGCTCTGTTTTCTAAGACAGTGTGTTGTCTTAGTAAATTCATCCCTTCCTTGGGTGGCTAGATTCTCACATCTGGTGCACCCACCATTACATTCTCCTATTCTTCCTTGAGTTTGCCTACTCCTTTGCCCCCCCTCCTTCTCACAGTATACTAAGAATCTCACTGACTTCCTTTTGCAGATCCTGAAGCCCTTCTTCAACAGCTGATATCCTCGATGGTGCTGTGCCTCCACCCCCTTCTAGAGAAGTTGCAATCCGATTTGCAATCAACACGAGTTCAGCAGCTGCTAGTGGAGGAGAAGAAGCCCTCGTATAATGCTTTCATTTTCGAGAGGCAGTCGAAACCGAAGGGGTTGATGGGATGTTGGAATAGGGAGTGAAGACTGTGATAAGTCACAGTTCTTTCTGAGAACCGTGATGTCTGCGTCCTCCTCCAAATCAAAGACACTTCCATTTCAGCCTCCTTCATGCCCTTTGTAGTGTCAAGCACTTCTTTCTGGGTGCCCCTTACTGTTACAACTTCAATCCAAGCGTCGATAGCTTGGGTATATGAAGTTGGCGGATCTTCTTCTCCGCTCTCCACTTCTAGCCTCATTGAAAGCTCTTCCTGGTGCTCACGAACAAGAGTATTCACATGCCGCCTAAGGGAGTTATGAGTTGTGCTTTAGATAGATTCAAACTCTCGAGTCACAAGCCTCCAAAATGCCTAGTCGGCCATATGGCCGTACAGTTCTGCTTTATCAAAGCAGATCTGTAAGACTATCGTCTTCTCACTTTTGGTAAGCCCCTTTCCAGCCTTTCACCCCTTTCCCTTATCATTATTATTGCCCCCTCTTTTGGTATCAATTGCTAACTGAGTATAGCTTTGGCTATTATCACTTATGAAGCCTTCGTTTTGGATATATTCGGCAGTATGAACGGTATCGGCTTCATCTGCCAGAAGGAATGCATTAGTATGCGGCTGTATATATGGTTCGCTTTGGAAACTAGGCACCGGCGATAGAGCGATTCAGCAGTGTTCTACAGTCGTCAGCTTGACACTGCCTAATCTGGTGATGCCAAGCAGTACTAGAGTACTACTAGATTATATTAGTATTAGAGTAATAGAATCCTTGTTTAGTACTTACCGTACCTCCTAATTAGGCAATATCAAAAGTTTGGTGATATTGACTGTATTCATCGGTGTAGAAAAAAAGTTGGATTATGATCGGTCGTTAGACAATTCTCCCCTTCCGTTCATACCCCCTACGGCGTTCCCTTTGTAATCCCCTATGTGACTAGAGCCCTTTGTTCCCTCTGTAGAATACTGGCCCTTGATAAATTTTTCTACTTCAGTAAGTGCTTTGGAACTGGGCGGGTGGGGGGAGAGGTGGTGGCGGCTGAAAAAATATACATCGCAGTACGTCTATTACCATACAAATATATATGTAAATGGAAGTACCTATATGTACCCTTTTGCGACTGCCACCACTGCAAATTACCCCTATTCGACCACCACTTTCGTTATAAAATATCTTTCCGACGTAGCTACTATATTGTGTAAAAACAAAGGAGGTTATAGTAATATAACCTAATGTCGGATACTGAAGAGCTAGAGCTGATTGCTCTTACTGTTTGCGCAGCAACCTTACTTGTTCGACGTCGTCGCCGGCGCCAATATTACTGATGGCTTATACAGTCTTTACATATAACTCAACGCCCACAAGCCTGGATTACATATGAATATGAGAAGTTCAACTGGAATCTACGATCGTGGGGTAGTCAAACTCCAGGGTGGGTAGTTCACAAGTTCCGGTAAGTAATTGAAAAGGGTTTGAGGTTTGGGGTATAGGTTCTTATACTATTAAGGTTTTCAATTGAGGAAATCCTTCGGCTTTATAAAATCGAATGGAGAGACCGGGTAAAGCCAGACTTAGAGACTGCTCTTTGTGTAGTCCTAGCTCGCCTTGCGTATCCAGGACGTTGGTCAACCTGCGCTGATCTTTTTGGGCGATCGCCAGCATGGCTCTTTACAGTTTTTAATGACGTAATGAGCCACTTAGTACACGAGTTTGAGGCTGTACTCGAGTGGCACGCATACCTTACATACAAGAAGCTGTTACAATTTGAAGAAGCGATTGAAGACAGTGGTGGGTGTGGTCAAATATGGGGGTTCGTCGACGGAACCTTCCAAGGCTTTTGTCGACCAGCAGGAGACTCCGAAGTCCAGCGGCAGTGGTATTCTGGATATCAAAAGAAGCACGGAATGCACTTCCAAGCAATTGTAACCCCAGACGGGCTTGTATCGTCCTTAATTGGACCATATAACGAACCTGCAATACTGCTTTCAAACTGTTATACCTGTATTCATGGCAATTTGATCGGGAGAAGGTTTCTAGTACCACCACCAACAGTAGAGGAGTATCTTTGTTATAATAGCTAGCTACAATATATACTAATTACTTGACTCTATCCAACCCTCTACTTCGTTGATCCCATTGTGCTGTGAGCTCTCAACTGGTATGCTTCGCCAGATAGGCCCATGAAGCGCTTGCTCAAGTAACAATATCATCGTTGACTGGCCTTTTTTGATTTCTTCCTGGCCTTCCTGAAGCTCCCAGATTGTAAGGATGCCTCCGGCCTCAGTGACGGAAAGGATCGGAGTCGGGCAGGTTACGGTCACGTGGGGAGAGTTAGGGCAGGTTAGCCGAGTCGGACCCGTTTCGGGTACTTAAGGGGATTGACCCAACGGGGTTCCTCATCATCTTTTTTTGTATCCTTCGTAGTAGACCTATAGGATAGCATCCGTTTAGCCTCCGACTCGCACTCTCATATGCTATTACTGTGAGCTGGGTGCCCTGTGTCCTTACACAGATCTGGTAATCAACTTGCTGAAATTGCAACTCAATACTACTCGTATTAAGTCCTCCGTTCTCACTTTCCTGCTGTCTATCCTGCTGGTCTATATTACCTTGAGTATATCGGGCTTTTAAAAGCTCAACTAATGACTCAATACTAGTCGACGTCTGGTCTTCACCCTGTATATTCAAACACTCGTCTAGGATCATTTGATTATAGGAAGGGGAAGATATTCGCAGGCGCTTCTTGCAGCTTCTCCCCTGACTGACTGACTGACCACGAGCGGAAGAAGTGCTTTGATAAACTGGCGTTGAGGTTTCAAAAGGAGGCGAGTTGATAGAGCTGATGTCCTCACAGTTATCACTTTGTAGCTCTTCGTCGTCGTCTACATCAAAGCCTGAGAGCTCCCGCGCTCCCAATAGACTTATCACGACTTTTTGGAGGATTCCTCTGGTATTTCCTCTTTGCTGCAAGGGCTACAGAGAGTGAGTCCCGGATATCCTGCGCCCGCTGTGACGAAGTGAGAACAGTATTTGCTGCCTCACTTCGCTCCTTATTAAGTCGCTCCTCCTCACCAACAACGTCAATCCAGTTATCAATCTGGACAGTCAATTCGCTCTCACTGTCTGTCTGACCAGTCCCAAGACTGTCAAGGTATGCCCTCCTCCTTTCAGTTTTCTGGCGTAATACTTGGTGAAGGCTCTTATGCTGCTTGCCGGTTTCCTTCGCAAAGTCCTCTTGAAGATGGGACCAAAACCCAGTCTTGCTACCTGGTCTATATGCTTCAGCATTTCGATTTGCAAGCCGGGATAGGACCAGCACTTCAGCCTTCGTCAAAGGGGCCATCTTAGTCGGAGAGCCTTGAGGATCGCAGCTTTCTATATGCTGCTGGGTTGAGAGCTGCGATACTTCTGGTGTTTCGGCTTCGATTTGCCCCTCAATCGTAGGCTGGATAGGCAGAGCAGGGCTTGCTCTGCCATCTTCTTCGAAGGTAGAGTATTGGCGATGTCTCTGGGGTAAGGATTGGGGCTCATAAGCCAGGAATTCGAGCGGCTTCGAGGCCATTATCACATATATAGAGTGACGTATATAGATACTGCTATACTACTGTATTCGCCTTACAATTACATGACGTCTATCCAAGGTGATTACTAACTTATATTCTAACTACAATAGGAATCTGGCTGGCTGTTAGCCTTGAACAGATAACTGTCTGACGCCGACAGTCTTACTTCCTATTTAGGAAATAGTGGGGTTCGCAGTGAGCAGGGTTTGTACAGGGTTTATACAGGGTTTATACAGGGTTCCTGGTCAAATTTTCTACACTAACTACATACAGGACTGTCGAATGAGGTGTTTAACACCTGCTGAATCGCTCTAATGGGTAACTTCCATATCACACAGACAACCTACACAGACCCACTGAATGGAGGTGCTGGGGTAACTTCCATATCACACAGACACCCTACACAGACCCACTGAGTGGAGGTACTGATCCTGGACTCGCTGACGGCACAAACTCCATCAGCACTGATGATTACACAGACATAAAAATCGACGTATTCTGCCTGACCTTGTCTTCCCGGTGAGTTTGATGTATTCTGATGGGATAACTTCGCAATTCTTGATAAATAAATTTTCTTTGACATGTATCAGGAACGGTCCGAGTTGTCTTTTTCAGGGACTGTCAGATGTCAGACGGATGTGGGGGTTTCGGTTTTGCCCAGCATCCGGCCGAGGCCTGAGGTAGTCCCCTTAGCCCTGAACCGGCCCAAGACGTCTTGAACCTTTAGTTTCCCTCGCAACTCTCGATATATTCTCTTTGTAACCTCTGTATTATACGATCGTGAGCAGAAACAAGACCAAAGGCTATTAAAATCGAAAATACCAGCTGAATTAACACAAACATGAGCGACATTTCGTCTCCGGCCGTGGCCGCTAGGCCGGCAAAACGACAACGGGCTGACGCGGATCTCCGGAGTCAACGAAAGCGGGAGGCAGACAGGAAGGCCCAAAGAAACTCTCGCGAGAGGCAGAGGTCACACACGGATCACCTCGAGAACATGATTGCGATACTCCGGAAGGAGAATGGGAATGCGGCTACGAGCGAGCTGATGGAGATGGTGTGGCAGCTCCGGTCTGAGAACGAGCGTCTCCGGAAGATTATCAATAGTGCAAAGTCGGCCTTGAGCGTAATGTCGTGCGATCCGACACCATTGTATTACTCACCTTATGCCAGCGTCATTTGCCCTAACTAACATATATTGCAGATCAAACCGTGGACATGTCGATTTGACCAGTGCCCCAAGGCCACCTCCAGGTACTGGCCCACAGGTTGCTGCAGTCGTAGGACCTTTGAGCAAAAACCCAGAAACTTCTCAGCCTAGTGCACTGCCTGCAAAGCGTAGCATAGATGATGTAATGCCGACTGCTTCAAATAGCCTCGTTCCAAATGGGGAACATGCTCGAAAAAGACGCCAGACCGTTGCTGATATCACGGCCGAGAGTAACTCGGGGAGCATCCTTAATTTCACTGAATCCTGGATGGATAAAAAGGCGGTAGTCAGGACCGACTCCGATCTTACTCCCTGGGCTTAGCTGAGCCCGATTACAACCATGATGCCACCAGCAGCTCGCCCACCGACACATGGTATGCAATGCCAAATCTGGGAGAAATCGAACAAGATCTACTCTTAGATCTCAACAGTCACCCCGGATTGGGCTTCTGCTGCACTAACGTAAGTGACGGTCTAATGCGGGGGACTAGGTAACGCGGTGGATTTCTGAAGAGGACGCAACAAATCTGTAAGTTTAACTATAATCAACAACAATACATGACCCGCTGTTGCTCTCAGATTGTTCCCCTGCTTCTTCTTCAATTTACTCGTCAATCTCAGTATCTAGGGATGTGCGCTTGTCCTTTATTTTGCGCTTGTTCTTAGTGAGATTTCGTGTCACTTTTTCCGCCTCTATCACCGCATCACACAATTCTTACGTAGTGATGTGAAAATGACCCTTTAATACAAGGGCAAAAACTCCATCTACCCGGTACAAAGGTGAAAAAACGCCATCTACCCGGCAAGCGCTTATCCCCTTTCGGAACCCGCAACAGGCCAATGAGAGCACGTACTCTCATGTGGCCTTTTCGAAACAATTGAGCTGGCAACACTTGCCAACTCAATTGTACGGTAAGTCGGGGGTTAATTGAGACCCCCGAAGCTCCTTTCCTCCCTCTTCCCCCTTCCATCTAGAGCCCCGCTGACCCCTCCTAGGATCTCTCTCTCCCTCACTCCTCTGACCCCTCGAAACCCCCCTCGGAAGCCCTCGCGCGAGGCACAAACTCCCGCCTGCCCGCCCCCGCCCCCGCATCTGACGATGGCCTCGCTGGCCGAACTCGCTGTCCCTGTCGACGGCAGCGAGTTCCTCGACTTAGACGCTTGGTCCCGCGCCCTAGACGACTGGGCCGTCAAGGAGAAGTTCTCCTGGCGGCTCCAGAGGAGGGACAAAGACCGGGCAACGGCCGTTTGTCCCGAGGAGGGCTGTGCCTGGCGTGTCCGAGCCAGCCCTGACGACGAGCAATGGAAGCTCGTCGTCGTTGAGGGGGCACACACTTGCGTGGGGAGGGGGCAGCAGAAGTTTGCCTCCTCCTCAAAGGCAGAATGGCTGGACGGCGTGGTCTCTCGACACCTACGGGTGTCGAAGAAGACCATGCCAAGGGAGATTGTTGAGCTCCTCCGCGTTCGATTCGCGGAGGGGATTCTCTACGGGAGGTCGCAGCAATCGTTGCTACGCCTTCTCGTAGGGGATATTGGAGCGCAGAGGCATAGCTTTCAGCTATTGCCCTCATATAAGCGCCTCCTGGAAGCATCTGCTCTAGGAGTTCATGTTGATCTCGTTCGAGATCGACACGACCGATTCCAACGGATCTTTGTGTGCCCTGCGGAGAGCAGGGCCACGTTCCAAGCCTCACGCCGGCTTGTTGCGGTAGACGGGACCTTCTTAAAGGCCCGTTTCATCCTTACTCTTCTTGTGGCCGTTGGCATTGATGCTAACGGCCACATTGTGCCACTTGTGTAACGCTGACTTCTAAATGATAGAAGACACAGAGGTTCTCTTGCGTAAAGGTTTACTTATCAGAGGAGGCAGGGGATCAGACACAAAGGCTTCAAGTAACACCTTACTAGTATATAACAAATACTGTATTGAGTTGAGCACGAAGCTCCTATCTAAGGAAATACTATCTACTTATATAGTGGCGTCGTGCCTAGTGGACTCTTGGGAACTCACTCGAGTCCTCGGAGTCCTGGACTCTTAGGACTCTTCTCATCATCCTGCGAGTCCGTCACGTGCCTAGTGGACTCCTGGGAACTCACTCGAGTCCTCGGAGTCCTGGACTCTTAGGACTCTTCTCATCATCCTGCGAGTCCGTCACGTGATACTTTCGGAACTACTATTCCCCGCTGCCCCTCCAGGTACCAGGGCCGGTCTCATGCGACCTCCCTCCTTCCTGTCCTGTAGTTGGCCAGCCTTCTTGTTTCGTCGTAACAACTTGCTTGGGCAGTGGCCGAGTCGGAGAACGCGGACTCTTGGGAGTGGTTTTTGAACCACCTCAAGTGGTCCCTCCCAGAGCTCGTGAGCGAGCCAAGCACCCTTGTCTCTGATAGAGACAAGGGGCTTCTTATTGCGGAGAGAACTCTCTCTCCGCAGGTGGTGATAGCTCATTGCTGTCGTCACCTCTCTGAGAATTTCTCAGAGCGGTTTGGGAGGGGCCTTCTACCCCTCTTCTGGAAGATTGCCCGGGCCACAACTGTGGCCCAATTCGACGGGCTTTTGGAGGAGCTTCGGGCTTTAAAGCCCGAAGCATCAGCATACCTTTATGGTGCCGAGCCCGAACGGTGGGCTCTGGCGAAGTTTCGTGGCCGTCGATACGGCCACAATACTTTAAATATTGCAGAGAGCTTTAATAAGCTCATCCGCACAGATCGAGAGCTCCCAATCGTGGAGCTTCTCGATGCGCTCTGGCACCGGGTGATGGCCCAGCGTGCGGAGCGCTCTCTTTTGGCTGTGGAGGCCATTGCTAAAGGGCAATGGCCTCCTCTCCTCACTAGGTTGGTGGAGGAGGGGAGGAACTGGGCCCATGGCAATGGGCTCCAGATATCCTCCCTAACAGAGGCACGGGTAGTCCAGCCAAATGGCAGGATCTACCTCGTTGACCTGACGGCAAGAACTTGTTCTTGCCGTCGATACCAAGAGAATGGCGTGCCTTGTGGGCACGCCATGACTCTTATATTTCGACAAGGGAGTCAATTGACTCCCTTTCTTCCGACAGAGCTGTCTGCCGCGTGCTGGCAGAGGCAGTATCAACTGCCTCTGCCTCCTGTCTCTGTCGAGGGTCTTTCGATAGACCCTGACGCCTGAGGAGGAATCTGTGACCCCCCAGTCACCCGAATCCCCCGAGGCCGTCCCCGAAAAGAGAGGGTTCGGAGGGAAGATGCCCGGCGTCCTCGAGGACGCCAGGAACGACGGGATCATGGAGGACTTCTGCCGCTTGGGGCAGTCGTTGCCGCCGTGCCGGACTTGGTCCGTACACGCTGCGGCACCTGCGGCGAGCCTGGGCACAATGCCAGGACTTGCCGCAGGCCTCACAATTGACCTGTTCTCATATGAGAACAGGTCAGTTTACAGGGGGGGTTACGGGGGGAGTTATGGGGGGTTTACGGCCTGTTCTCATATGAGAACAGGGGGATTTACGGGTGGATTGGGTGGGGGATGGTCACGTGGTAATCGACCGGGTAGATAGAGTTTATTTGGGTTTTTACCGGGTAGATGGAGTTTTTGCCCTTAATACAATCCTTTTACCCTTCGTACAGACTGTACGTCGCTTCATAATCGATCGCAGGTTGTTAGCATCAAGTTAGTGGACACAACTACATGCTCGAAGTTGCTCTAACGTAACTGTGAGTTTTTAGATGTATGCGTAATAAGCACCAAAACCCTCACCTTGCAACTTCAAACTCATAAACCACAACAATGGCGAGACGCAAGAGCCTTCGGGTTCAAGAGAATGAAGCTCGTATGGCTAAAGCTATAATAGCTTACCAGAATGCGACAATTTACAAGCTTATTGACGCGTCGCATGTAACGGGTGCCGCCGTTACAGTACATGTGGTATATAAAGCGTGTTGCGCGTATTCCGGGCGAGCCGGAATACTGTAGTCTTTTTGGCTCAGTGGGATGTAGCGCGGGCATAACCGTACATCGTTACATCGCGTGTCAGGGGGCCATTCCCGAGTGCAAGCGTGACAAAACTAGCAACTTTTATCTGCAGTTGAAGAGAGTACCTTAGTTAAGTGGATTTGCCAATTCTCTTCGATAGGACGCCCTATTAGACACTAATAAAGGAATTGGTAGAAGAAATCAGGATTCAAAGAGTGCAATGCGTTAACGATGCCTCATCTCAAATTGCGTGGCTGCGAGGTCTGTTGGCTAAGTGCCTTCCCCGCCAGTTGGGATGGTATTAGTGTTGTCAGTAGAGGGCGGTGCCTTATAATGTCTCCCGAAAAGGGTGTGTTCGACCAGATGAGTCAGGATTTTTGAGCCACTGTAGCGGTGGTGTGTTGTGTAGCTAGTTGCCTTGCTTAGGAGTGGGAGCTCTGCAGCGTGGCGGCTGGCGATAGAACAAATGAGAGAGGTATATAAAGAGTGTCTTGTGACAAAGTGAGAGCTGTAGAGAGTGTTAGGGGTGATTGGTCTGGACCCCGACTACTAGTATTTGCGAAAATGAATGTGTTTATCCTCCGGGACTATGTCGCGTTAACCTAGAGCATCTGTGGGATTAGGAGAAGTAAGAGCTTCTGCTGATTCTACAGCTAGAACTGGATGTTGTGCGCCCTAGCGGGTGCAGATCCTAGAGTAAAACTCTGTGACCTAGAGGAGGGCTGCAAAGTCTGGTGGTTTGGCCATGAGGTTGGCTAGGTATCCTAGCCTAGAGGCGTTGCTGTCTGGCGGTGCTCTTGGTCGCTAGGGCCAGTGTCCGAACTTGGAGGCTGTAGTGGTTTTCCTACAGCAGACGATGTGCTTAGGGGTCTTGGGGCGGCCGTAGGAGCAGAGTAGTTTGGCCTCCTCATGAGCGAATTTTGTGTGGTACCAGGAGAAGTCACCATGGGATGACCGGATTGCAAGGAGCCTGTGTAGTGTGGCTCTAGGGAGGTCGAGTTCTAGGAGTGGCTTAACTAGTGGGAGAGTTTGGCGCTGCGCTATGTCCACTAAGAGAGCTGGGCTGCTTTACGGAGTGTCCTGAATATAGAATGGATGCCGCTGAGTGTAGGCTGTGAGGCTTGGTCGGAGTCTGCTGGCAGGGGAGCTGTAGCCCCGAGGTCTGCGAGTTAGTCTGCTGCTTCGTTGTCTTCGATCCCGGTGTGTCTAGGGGACTAGCGGGTTTTGATGTCGAAGACTTACATAGCGTGGAGGCGAAGCAGGTTTACATGAGAAATTATACTCTGGTAGAGCTTGAACCAATTCTCGTATGATCCGGCTGCTACTTGGCACCCACGGTTCTGTGCCGTTAGTCGGTTCTATCCCCGCCCCGCAGTGCCGAGATAAGGTGGAACATAAGCTCAAGACTACCGAGGCAAGGTTTAATGATAAATACTTTAAATTCCCTTGATAATTATTGTCTCTTGTTATACCATCTCCAAAAGACTCACTCAGTTATTCATTAATCTGTAATCATGCTCTTCAGCCACTTCATCATCTTTGCCCTGTGCGTTGGTAAGTTTGCTCCAATTTCCGGCCTTCAATTGAGCTCAATCGAGTTCAATTCACCATAAATCGCAAAGCTAACTCGGGATAAGGCGCCGGACTCGCAGCGACCACCAGAGATGTCTCTCTTGCTTAAGGACAGGCAGCTGTCGTAGCTCTCAAGATCCTCCAGGAGGATGTTACCGCAAGCGCTGCGCTCATCAGTTAGTTTTAAACACTCACATAAACAGCCTACCACCATTCTAACGCCTTCCGATAAAGACCAACGTCGAGCAGATTAAGCCATTCTCCCAGGCTACTGATATTGCGGCCCCCGTTGCCGCCATCAAGGCAGCGTTTGTCGAGATTGCTGCTTCGTTCAAGAACGCCACCGATGCCATCAAGGCCGGTGCCCTCCCAATTGGAGCCCGCCAGCTCCCCACCGACCCAACTGCCATCGCCGCCAAAATCGCTGGTATCGTCAACAATTGGTAGCACTCTCCTCGGTCTCTTCCTCTCTTTCTTGGGCACGGTCACGGCCTGTAAGTCACCCACTCAAAATATAATGCTCCTGTGGATAGTTTGCTAATTCTGGATCCCTAAACAGCCAAGCTCTGGCAAGAACTCAGCAACCCTCTTCTTGAGGGTTTCACCCAAGTCATGAGCACCCTCGAGATGATCCCTGGCGTCAATGTTGTTTTGGACATTGCCAGAGGTATCCTCAACAGCATCCCAGTCCCAGGTCCTCAGGTTACATGAGATGTTGAGAGTACTATGGTGGTTGCTTCTTCAGGCGAGGTGAAGGCCTTCCAATTTTTAACTATATAAAGTCGGCTTTATGCCAATTGTTTAGTTATGGGAATTGTTTGTATGGAATACTACTATATATTTTGCCTGTGCTATCTGGCTTGATTCCATGTACAATATTAAAGAATTACCACCACCGACTCTCGCGCTTTAATCTTGGATAACATGCTTCTGGAGATATGATATTACGTACGGTTGAGTTTCCGCATACAGATGTAGCGATGATGTCGTTCCGACGAGTCAGGCATTACTTTGTGTGGGATCCCTTCACCCGTTCAAAATACAACAGCACAGGGCAAAAGCCACAGCATTTTGATCGGATAATATGTTGGTGATTCCAACACGACCAATCCGTCGTAGTGCTTATAAATGACAGGCCTACAGGACTGTGCAGCCAATCGCCAACCCAGTACAGCCTTGGGCTTCCCCGCAACATGCCAAGAGATGGATACAGACCCTATAGAGCCGAGAACCTAGCGGACAACTTGCCACAACCCACACTCACAACTTGGCATCAACTGACAGACCAGTTTGAAATAGTGTCCATTGTTCAACCTATATGCGAAATACGAAAGCCGATATTTAGCCGATACATAAAAAACATGTTCATTTCGACGGCTCCTCCCCTCGTGGTATCAAGTCTATATGCTGCCAAGAAGCGATTGAAGGTTCACTGCAAGAGTTAGGGTGTGACTCTGAAGTACTGACTCCTAAAATCGAATCTCGTTAGCATATGGTCATGAGGATATAAAATGGCTGGGTTGGATGGACGTACGTAGTAAGGCAAGTGGACGCCATTGTAGACCGCCGTATGCCCGACGATAATCATGTTAACCATGCCCTGCTTACCCACGTTGCCGAGCGCGAGTGCCGTGTCAACAATGGCGTTCATAGGAAGCAAGTTCTGCCCTGGCTTCAACACGAAGTTATCGATGGTGCTGTTGCCGATGAGGCCCTTCTCCTTTGTGGAGATGTGCATCACAACCTTTCCCTGTATTTCAGTTAGCAGCTGCAATGATAATGCGACAACGGATACATACAAGCTCGACTGTCAAACAGGCGGGTTTGGAATAAGTGACATCCCCGTCAAGTTGGGCCCGGCCATCAAGTTTACTTTAGGCTCCGTAATGTTGAAGCCTGACAGCACCACGGGACGGGCAAGCTTTGCCAAGCATGGGGTAGGCTTGGCGGCTCCCCTGCCGAGATAGTGTACGGACCAAGGGCTCGGTAGCGAGGATTACCAGCCTAATTTAGCTATAGAGTGCGCCAATACATGTTAATCGCTTCCAGGATATAAATTTAGCAGGGGCCAATCGGCGAATTTGACTCCACATTACCATGCCCACATGTTGTCTGCATTCTGGTGATCTGTTAAGGTAACTTGGAGATTGGAGAATTGAGGGGTCATGCAGGTTCGTCTCTTCTCGGGGAGTACACGGCTTCGGATTTACGCTTGTTTGTCTCGTCGCCAAAGTCCACGAAGCTGCTGCGGCTGGCAGTTGTCAAATATCTTGACATCTGATAGTGCTGCTTGGCCTCGTGCCGCCTAAAAGATACGTTGGGGTCTGCACGAAGCTAATATGAGCGATTTAAGCTCTTCGCCTGTTTTCCAAGTTCTGGACGCTGTGTGATATGGTTGCATTTTGGCTAGATTTTTGTCATGGAGGTAATATTCTAAGCTGGTGGCAGAGAACGCCGAGTGATCCTTCATAGAGAGCGAAGTAATCGGATCAGTTATTATATTGTAACTACGATGTATTGTAGTATGTTGTAGATAATTTACTGCTGTGAAGCCCGAGTTACGTTCTCCGTCCACGGGCAAGAGCATCCACATATTCAATCTTGCGTTTACTAGGGCTTGCAAGCGGCGTATATAGCGGGATTGAATAACTGTATTTAGAGACAAATCGACAAAGGATAAAACATTCTTCGGAAGTAATCATCATTTTTATTCATATCCCACTTTGCGAGGCTCTTTCTTGCCGCCGGAATTCTAACTTTTAGACTTCCGTTGCGTAAAACCGAGGGTTATGTTCGGTGCCCTTGCCACCGCCAGTTTCCTGTTGTCGAATAGTGTCGCTGCCGTTGACTTTCTGTCACTGCTGCGTTGTTGCCGCTGGTCTTCCTTTCTTGCTAATGACAGAGTGCTGCCGCACCATCATCCATCAGCACCACCAGCGATGACGAACCCGCGATCGAGGGCAGATGAGATATGCCCACGTATTTTTGTCTCGAAAAAGGGAAATTCATAACCGCACTTGGCGAACTTCAAATCAAAGTAGACTTATATTATAACGTGCATGTATAACGAAAGTGCCAAACAAGCGAAAGTGCCAAAATATCGCGACTACCCCATAAGAATTGCGATAAATCCACCACAACAATATAAATTAATTAAAACTACTCAGAGTCCTCTTCCTCAGACCTGTCTATTACAATCTGACAAGTGCGCGCATTGTGTCCAGTCTCACCACACTTGCCACAGCGACGTGCATGGGTTTCTTCCCTTGGCTTCCGACCACTACTTGCCCTTATTTCTTGCTCTACTTGCTGCACAACGTCCCTCTCGTCCTGTAGCTCCTGTGCTACCTGTTGACTAAGTGATCCTCCTTGCTGTAGTCGTGTTTTTTTAGCTCTCCGGCGCTTGCTTAGCACTTCATTTGCCTGTCACAGGTTTTGGTTCTCTGCTTTTAACAATGCTAATTGATGCATTATTTGCGATGCACCCTTTGTAAACTGGTCAACAGCTGCATAGATTGAGGTTGGAGAGCTATTTTGATGATGCGCAATTCAGTTTTTAATGAAAGTAGACTGTGATACAGCTTCAGTTGGGTTATTTGGTGTCTGAGAAACCCATGGTTGAGCGGTGTTTGGGCGAGAGGTTGGAGGTGTTGGCGTCTTAAACCTAAGGTCAAGTGTAGATATTACACTCTTAGGGCTAAATGGAAGAAGCCCAGCACCTCGGAACCCTCCCTGAATATTGCTTTCTGTCATTGCAATGTTAAATGCAGCGTGGAAGGCAGGAAAGAAGTCATCCTTAGTAATGTGAATAATATGAGCCCGCATCATATCTTCAATTTGCCGACCGTAAGCTCTCTTTAATGGGCCAAAACAGCCAACATCAAGTGGTTGGAGTATATGGGAAGAGTGAGCAGGCATACAAAGCGTAATAATGTTGTGTTCTTTGCAGTACTCCTCAAACTTGTCTGAGTGGTGGCTCTCATGACCATCAAGAACTAACAAGCGATAACCACCAACACTCCGGGGCTTTGTGTGCTTCTCAAAATGCTGAATCCAATCCATACCTCTCTCGTTTGTAGTCCAGCCATTTGCAGTAACAGCGATTACCCAATCTGCTGGAAATCCGCTATTCTCATACCAAGATGCAAGGTGGTTTTTACCTGCCACAATGACAAATGGCGGCACTGCCCAACCTTGAGAACTAATGCCTTGGATTACTGTAACCCATTCCCGATTGCCAGGCTGCACCTTTTTTGCCTTTGCCTGCCCATCTGAGCTCGTTACTACCGTTGCGCTTGAGATGACGCCCATCATAAACCCAGTCTCATCAAAGTTGTAGATATCTGCATTGTTGATGCCATACTTTAGAATTGTGTTCCATACAAGCTCAAACCAACCACGAATGACTTCTGGATCTTCGCACTTAGCCCTCTGGTAGTCGTATTTTCGCTGGAAGCGTGTCCGGAGCTCTACATGGCGCTTAACAAAGTTTGAAGCCCAACGTGACCCGACGCGTGGCGCGTCGCATGTTGCAAGTAGTCGATTTGCCATATCTTCAACAATAGACAACTGAGGAGGGAACCCTTTAGCAGCTAAGTCAAGTATATACTGAACAAGAACTGATTCCTCTAGGTTACTTAATTTCCGTAAGTTGGCTTGGATATCGCGTCGGAAGGTACGCCTTGTAAATGGTGACGTAGTTTGCGGTGGTCTACGGAATAGATCCTAGCTGCAACTCGAAGGCGCAAATTTGGGTCGCTTTGCATAGCTTGGATAGCTAGCACTAATTTGCTTTCATCATTTTTATGGCGCATGTTTTGTTGTGGAGGAATTTAACATTTAGTTGGGGGGGTTGGTCACCGCATGATTTTGGCACTTTCGCTTGTTTGGCACTTTCGTTATACATGCACGTTATTTGTAACTAATTAACTATTATTTGAGACACATACATATTAACAAGTTATCCCCTTTCCATCTGTTACGGACGGAGGTGGCTTTCAAAAGTTTCGTCCTACGCTAGTAATGCCAAGATATGCATAACTCGTAAATCGTACTGTTCCCCCTCATCTTACCTCACCGTTTATAGTAATAAAAGTAATTATGGCACCAAATACAGATATTTACAGGGTGTGGACATCTCTTCGACTACAATATGGAGAATTTTAAAGAAGGCTGGATTCCGAAAGACGAAACTAATGAGGAAGCTTAGATTGACGAAGAAGATGAAGGTAGAGAGGCTTCAATGGTGCTATAACTATAAGCATTTAACATTCGAGGAGTGGAAAAATATCATTTGGTCAGATGAAACCTCTGTTGTGTTAAACTACCTACGGGGTGGCTATTAGATTTGGAGGATAGCGGATGAAGCACTTATGAGAAGTTGCATTTGTGAGAGGTGGAAAGGATACTCTGCGTTTATGTTTTAGGGGTGTTTTACCTACGACAAAAAAGGGCTATGTCATTGTTGGATTCTGGAAACGAAGCAAGAGAAGAGAGACGTAGAAATTGAAATTAACATAATGAATGAAGAGTTAGAGCCTATTCTACGTGAGGAATGGGAACTTGCAAATGGAATGCGGAGAATGTCACTCCGTAATCTTCCTAGCACGAAACCACAGTGGAGATGGAATTGAAAAAATGGAAAGTTAAGTCAACAAGCAGGAGGAGGTGGAATTGATTGGTAACGCTATCAAAAGAAGATTCTTATTCCAAAACTCTTCCCATTTGCAAAAGAGTGTATGGAAAGCCGTCTTAAAACTCTTGTGCGAAAGGATAATGCGCCATCGCATAGCCATTATATCCAACGGGTATTTGATCTTTATGAGATCAAATGGCTATTTTGGTGTGCTAATTCACCAGACCTTAACACAATTGAGCCATGTTGGCCATGGATGAAGCGACGGACTACACGGAAAGGGGCACCTAAAAGCCGGGCAGAGGCAATACGGGCATGGGAGGGCTGCTGGGAAGATCTTCCACAATCTCAAATCTAAGCGTGGATTGAGAGGATTCCTCGGCATATACATAAGGTCATTGAACTTGAAGGCGGTAACGAGTATAAGGAGGGGCGAGCAGATTGAATAACTTAGTATAAATTAAATTATGAATCATGGCGTTATTAGCGTAGGACAAAACTTTGAAAGTCACCTCCGTATGCGATCGGCGCATAAAAGCTAAACCTACCCTTCGGATCGTAGTCCTTCTTCAACGAAAGCAGGCGGTCCTGGCGCCACTTATCCGCTCCATACCACGCCTTTGGTGTCTCATCACCATAGGCATAGTTGACATACGTATTCAGGCTGGTCTGTCCACTGCCCTGATAGAGGACCTGGCGCATCTGATTACCGAGCTTGAAGGCTTGGTCATCGAGTGCCTTTCCGTTGGGCTTGTAGGTGAGGAGAGGTGCGACGAGGAGGTTATCGGAACGGTAGGCGTATGCGGTGGCATCATCGCTGATTGCCTTTACTCCCTGTGTGGCGTACCCCTCAAACATGAAGAGCGCGTTGCTGAAAGGAGTCGAGGCGTTGGTGGTAGCTTGGGTGAAGAGATCGTATACCTGTCGCTGAGCGGTGGTGTTGTATGATTTGAGATAGATGGGGAAGCGTGGGTTGGCGTGTCCGGTAATCTGGCAGGCTCTGTCGGAAAGGGAGATACCGGTCCACTTGGCCAGGTCAAGGTAGGTACCTGAAGTGGGTTGGGCGAAGATCGGTCCAAGGTCGTGGAAGGGCTTCGTGTAAGCTGGGTCGACGGCGTCCACACCTTCTTGGATGAGGTACATGACGATCACAGGCTAGAGTGGTTAGAACATTGCCAATACGTCTGAGACTGAACTCACCTTTGTGTCCAGGGTAGGATCGAAAAACCAATAGGACCAGTTGTTCAAATCCTCGGGAATGGTACCATTTGTGAGCCACATCTGGTTTGCAAGCTCATAAACAGCCTCGACCTTGTCGCCACTGAAGGTGATAGTCTCCAAGGCGTAGTTGCGGTGCCGGATATCGTAGATCTTGGAAACGACAGAAGTGACGATTCCAAAGTTGTGGCCGGCGCCCTTCATGGCCCAGAAGACACTGGAGTTCTTGTCCACTGTCATTATGCCGCCATTGGCCTTGACAACTCTCATGGAAACGAATTGATCAGAAATGAGTCCATGGTGGCCCTGAAGCCATCCGTGGCCACCTCCAAGGGCGGGGCCAAGGTAACCGACACACTCGCAAGTTCCAGTCACTGTGACTGAGTTTAGCTATCGGGGCCTTTTTATGACAGCAATCGCCTACTCACCAGTTTGTTTTCCTGCCGCCCACAGAGTGTCGGTGACATTCTTAGACATAACTCCACCACCAATTGTGACCGTTTGGCCATCTTTAGCGATTTTAATGCGGTTCAGCAGCTTCAGAGAGATCTCAATGCCATTTGTCATCTGCCCAAGAGTAGTGATTGATCCGTGAACACCATTTGTCGTAAGGAATGGCAGGTATTTGCTGTTCGCAAACTTTACCTATGCCGTGGAAGACTAGTAAGCTACCGCCGCAGAAAGGCAAAAACGAAGTGGCTTACAGTTTGGACTACATCATTCTCTGTGGCAGGAACAACAACAACATTCGCAACGGGCATGCTCAGGTTGGACCATCTTGCCACCAAGGAATTGAATCCGTCCGACGTTGGTAGGTAGATCTGGGCGCTTGGCGAGAGGTTGGACGCAAGCTGCGTGAAGTCTACGCCGCGACGTGCGTCGAGACCGGAGAAAGAGACATCTGGGCGAGCTACAACTGCTGTGCAAGCGACGTGCGCCGCAAGGCTCAATCTAAGTTGGAACATGGGAACAGGAATTGGCAGGAATCGGCAGACAGCAACGTGGTTACGGGTGAATACTGGTATTAGGAGCAGGTGAGCCATATATGTATAAGCGAAATTGCAGAGTTCCTGGGAATTACAAGGCGTGGTGCTAAAACGTGTGCTACAGCACACCCTGCGGCGTTAAAAGCTTTGATAGATAGCAACTATTGAGTAGACCCTCGGCAGCATAGTTTGCTTTCCAACTTTCTTCGTCTCACGGTATAGCCTCGGATATCCCTGACCCGCGAGAATGGTGGCTAGTTTCCGGGATAGCTAAAAATTACCGCGTTCACTATTCCCAAGGAAGGCAGAAAGATGGCTAGTTTCAATTCTGTAGACATGTCCTCTAAGCTACCTTCAACACGGCACGGGGGCAGCTCGACGTGGTCGTGGTCGTTAACCACAATGACGGCGGTTGGTGGTGTCATAAAGGCAACCACATGCTAGATCGAACAGGCCTTTCGCCGATCTGTCGAGCGACCACGCCCACGAGCCCCGAATCCCCTGGCTTGACCATAATTCGTGCAGCCACAGGCGGACGGTACCAAATTCGGCAGTATGCCGACGATCGGCTCGTGGGTTTTCCATTACCCGCGATCGACTAGTTACCCATTGAGTAACGTATTTGTACACCGAACGGGTCCAACACACCGAACAGTCCAACACACCGAACGGTCCACTTAATCCAACCCTTCACACTGCAGAACAGCTGTACAACCACCGGCCACTTTAAATCAATTAAAACTACTTCATTATCAGAAGTAATACTTGGCAGGTTCGCGCGTTATGGCCAGTCAGCCCCCTCTGTACGACGATACTAAGTGATCCTCCTAGCTGTAGTTGTGTTTTTTTAGCCCTCTGGCGCTTGCTAAGCACCTCATTAGCAGCACGGAGGTCCTTTGCCTCCTCCCGTAGTAACACTAACTCATGTGCCATTTTGGACATCCCTCGAGCCTAGGCATCAATAAGCTTGTACTGTACATATGAGTTGGAGAGCTTACTATGGTGCCTAGCAATCTTATTTTTAATGACTGTAGACTCGTACGAGGAGTCTTTGTGTCATGTGGTATATAAAGCGTGTTACGCGTGCCGGAATACTGTAGTCTTTTTGGCTCAGTGGGATGTAGCGCGAGTGTAACCGTACATCATAACACTTTGTAACCCATGAGTGGGCGCTTCTAGGGCGAGAGCCTAGCGGAGATGGCGTGTTAAACCTTGGATCTAGGTGAGTCATTAAAGCCTTTTACCCTCTAAAGTCTGTTTTAATATGCCACTTTTACAGCACAAGAGGTAGAACTTCCCCATGGCCACCCAAGCCCAAAGAGATGGATAAGTCCAGGAGGATGGGGGGCGACACATATAAATGACAATGCTCCATTTAGTCTTTGGGATGCGACTACGGGGACATATTGCATGCCCTCGCAAGAAGAGCTCAAGTGGCTCCGTGCAAGATTTGGCGACGGGGCGATATCACAACCTGGAGACTGGTTTATGACCATCGAGACGATAAACCCTCCGAAGCCTATATCTCTTACAATTGGGTGTATGCCGGTAATGTTCACTGCCGTCGGAGAAGACCCGCTACCCCTCACGCCTGACAACCATTATTCAAACACACGAATTCCAGACCCATGCGCGGAAGTGTCATGGGAGCCAATGACGTTCCCAACAGTCAACCATAATGTTGCCATTCTTGAGGCCCTTGAGCCCATCGTAACGTTTTGCTCAATAATATACATGCCATACTGGACGATCGTTGAGCTGGAATATAATGATGGCCGAGTTTATGAAGCAAAATCTCTACCAGGAACGGTTGGAAATCGAATGACGCTTTATCACCACGAGGAGACCCATGGCATAAAAAGATGAGTCAAAGAACACTAGTGTGCGGCACGGGGGACCGACCCCGTCGGGGGACCGACCCCGTCGGGGGACCGACCCCGTCGGGGGACCTAAACCGGACCGGACCGCGGTCCGGTCTGAAGCTCATAAACCGCGGTTCCCCGTCGGTCTGCCAAGACTGTCATCACGTGATGACTGGGTTAGTTGACAATGACGTGTAAATATTTGTTCCGGCCCAGTCGCGAATAATTCATATTCGCGAATGGGCCAGCCCAACCACGAATATGAACCTCCGCGAGCGGGCCGGCCTATTCGCGAATGGGCCGGCCCAACCACGAATAATAGTAATAGTAAAGTAGTAATTAAGAATCTATATACTATTACCAACAGTGTCTGCTCTTGCTCGCTTCCTTCGTGGCCTCTCAACTCGTGGCCTCTCAACTAAAGCTATTTCTGTACGAGTAGCTAGACCTGATAAATTACCACAGTCGTGGTCATCATTATGACAGTGTACGCCACACCCCTTTACTTCCTTATAACACCGACACCTCTTTGAATTGCATTGACCCTTACATTGACATGATATTCCAACCCATGCACTTGTAGAAGCCTCTCTAGCTGCAAGTGCAAGTGTTACTTGCTTTGTAGAAGTAGGAATAGTAATATCAGACCAAAGAGCTTGCTCTACAGCTTGAAGTGATTTTGTAGGTATAAGGCGTTGTATAATACCAGAGAGTGTTATAACCTGATACCGGTGTGGATAGGGCTCTTCTAAAATGCGTGCAAAGAGCCTCTTATTATCAGTTGAGGTTCTATCCTCTCGAGGAACCTTGATAGAGACTATAGCTCCAATATCGAAGTGTTGGATATTATGCCTCTTACTATACTTTTGTATCATAAGAACCCTTGCCTTTTGAGTTGCTACTGTAGCCCGCTCAATTATAGAATCAATGGGGGCTCTAAGCTCAGTTCTAGGCTGGGCTGCTACTCGACTCCGGCTCCCACGCCGGAGCTCAGAATGAAGCTGCTCTTGCGCTTGCTCGGAATTGATCGATTCGGCCAGCTCAGAATTGAGTGAGGGTGAGAGTGCTCGCTCGGAATTGGGTGAGAGCGCTAGCTTAGAATTGAGTGAGAATGCTCGCTCGGAATTGGGTAGGAGCGCCAGCTCAGAATTGAGCGAGAGAAGTAGCTCAGAATTGATTGAGAGCGCCAGCTCAGAATTGATCGAGGGTGCCAGCTCAGAATTGATCAATAGCGCTAGCTCAGAATTGATCGATAGCGCCAGCTCAGAATTGATCGAGAGCTCTCGCTCTTGCTGGAGCTCACTCTCAAGAATCGGTGCCATCGTTGGGTCTTCCTGCTCAACTCCAATTGAGAGATCCTTCCGCGCCTGGCTATTAAGCCAGTTAATATGAGAGCTCCTATCTCGGAATAGTAGCTCAGCTGGTGCACATCCAATTGTCGAGTGGATTTGAGTATTCATTGCAAGCATAACCTCAAGTAGCCCATCCTTCCACTCCATAGATCCATGATCCATTTTCCATGCTCGTAGCTTTGCTTCAACAACCCCATTGGCTTGCTCAACTAGGCCTTGTGTCTGTGGTGACCGTGGTGCTCCATTTATCACTTGAATTCCATACTTGCGTAGTAGGATAAGTAGGGCTCCCTTGAATTCCTTTCCGTTATCAGCTTGCATAATCTTTGGAGGTAAGAAAGCTGCGATAAATTGAGCAAAGCAGTCTGCAATTGGCCCTGTGTGCTTGCTCTTTAATGGGTATAGCTGTGTATACTTTGAGAAATGATCCTTTATATGCAGAATCCATTTATATTGCCCTGAAGGCTCATGGCGCATATCAATTAGATCAATTTGAACCCGCTCCCACGCTCGCCCACTTATAATAGGGACTAACGGAGCTTTTGTAGTAGATGGTCGATTTAGAGTACAGTTCTTACACCGCTTTATAATGAACTCTACTTCTTCTCTCTTTAGTCCATAGAACTTTTGTTGTATGATATTCCATGTTTTTGTACGGCCTGCATGTAGGAGTTGTAGGTGTTCGTTGATAATAGTATCAAATGCATCGCTCTCAAGAATTACACATCGTGGGTTTTGAAACCTAGTAGTAGGCTTATAGTAGAGCTTATTATGTAGAAGCATAAACTCTGTTTGCGCACGATGCTTAAGTCGTGATTCAATAGGATTTGCAGGTTTCATCGATGGGTTCTGAAGATAGAGGAGTAATTGACGGTATTTTAAGTAGTCTATCCGCTCTCTATTACTATAGCTAAAGCTATGAATATAGGTTTGAAAAGCAGTGCGCACATCCTGAGGAAATGGATTAATCTGTGCAATAGTAGGGTCTTCCATATTGATGAAGTTGATATAATAGATCTATCTACAATATCTATACTATATTACCCCGCATAGGTTGGGCATCATTCGCGGTTGGGCCGGCCCATTCGCGAATAGGCTGGCCCGCTCGCGGAGGTTCATATTCGTGGTTGGGCTGGCCCATTCGCGAATATGAATTATTCGCGACTGGGCCGGAACATATTTTATATAATGACTTATTTTCCATGTGTAATTTGTAGTAACGTACATGTATAGCGAAAGCGCCAAACAAGCGAAAGCGCCAAAATTATCTACCCTCACGACAAACATTGCGATAAATCTACCACAACATTAGAAATCAATTGAAACTACTCGGAGTCCTCTTCCTCGGAGGTGTCTATTACAATCTGACACGTGCGCGCATTGTGCCCAGTCTCACCACACTTGCCACAGCGACGGGCACGGGTTTCTTCCCTTGGCTTCCGACCACGGCTTGCCCTTATTTCCTGCTCTACCTGCTGCACAACATCCCTCTCATCCTGTAGCTCTTGCGCCCCTTGTTGACTAAGTGATCCTCCTTGCTGTAGTCGTGTTTTCCTAGCTCTCCGGCGCTTGCTTAGTACTTCATTTGCCTGTCGTAGGTTTCGGTTCTCTCCCTTTAGCAGTGCTAATTGATGCATTATTTGCGATGCACCCTTTGTAAACTGGTCAACAGCTGCATAGATTGAGGTTGGAGAGCTATTTTGATGGCGTGAAATCCGAGTTTTAATAAATGTAGACTGTGACATAGCTTCAATTGGGTTGTTTGGTGTCTGAGAAACCCAAGGTTGAGCAGTACCTGGGCGGGAGCTTGGAGGCGTTGGTGTCCTTAACTTAAGATCAAGTGTAGATATCACTCTCTCAGGGTCAAATGGAAGAAGCCCTGCCCCTCGGAACCCGCCTCGAATGTTACTTTCCGTCATTGTAGTGTTAAATGCAGCGTGGAAGGCAGGAAAGAAGTCATCCTTTGTAATATGAGAAATATGAGCCTGCATCATATCTTCAATTTGCCGACCGTAAGCTCTCTTTAATGGGCCAAAACAGCCAACATCAAGTGGTTGGAGTATATGGGAAGAGTGAGCAGGCATACAAAGCGTAATAATGTTGTGTTCTTTGCAGTACTCCTCAAACTTGTCTGAGTGGTGGCTCTCATGACCATCAAGGACTAACAAGCGATAACCACCAACACTCCGGGGCTTTGTGTGCTTCTCAAAATGCTGAATCCAATCCATACCTCTCTCGTTTGTAGTCCAGCCATTTTCAGTAACAGAAATCACCCAATCGCTTGAAAATCCACTATTCTCATACCAAGATGTAAGGTGGTTTTTGCCTGCAACAATGATAAATGGTGGTACTGCCCAACCTTGAGAACTAACGCCTTGGATTACTGTAACCCATTCCCGATTACCAGGCTGTACCTTCTTTGCTTTTGCCCGCCCGTCTGAGCTTGTTACAACCATAGCAGTTGAGATAACGCCCATCATAAACCCAGTCTCATCAAAGTTGTAGATATCTGCTTCATCGATACCATATTTTGCAATTGTGTTACGCACAAGCTCAAACCAGCCATTAATAACTTCTGGATCTTCGCACTTAGCCCTCTGGTAGTCGTATTTGCGCTGAAAGCGTGTCTGGAGCTCTACACGCCGCTTAACAAAGTTTGAAGCCCAACGCGACCCAACGCGTGACGCGTCGCGTGTTGCAAGTAGTCGACTTGCCATATCTTCAACAACAGACAGCCGAGGAGGAAACCCTTTGGCAGCTAGGTCGAGTATATACTGAACAAGGACGGACTCCTCTAGGTTAGTTAATTTCCGTGAGTTGGCTTGGATATCGCGTCGTGAAGGTACACCTTCTAGACGACGACCTAGCTTGCGGTGGTCCACAGAATAGATCCTAGCAGCAACTCGAAGGCGTAACTTTGGGTCGCTTTGCATAGCCTGGATAGCTAGCACTAATTGGCTTTCATCGTTTTTATGGGGCATGTTTTGTTGTTGAGGAATTTAACATTTAGTTGGGGGGTTTGGTCACCGCATCATTTTGGCGCTTTCGCTTGTTTGGCGCTTTCGCTATACATGTACGTTAGATGCAATTACTATAATTATTACTATAGATCTATATTACGCCATGACTCCCGGATTTCCCGACCAGACCGGGACTTGTTACGGACTTGGCTTAACTCAATTGTTTCGACCATTTCCCTATAAGGTGACTGGGCCCTATTGTCCTCCTTTGGCCTTGTAAGTGAAGGTAGGGTGTAATCACACCCGTCGTGGCTTGGGGGTAGCCCCTCTACATCTTCTGGCTCTGAATCAATTAAGTCAAAGGTTGATGTATTAGCCTGACTTGAGTAACGAACTTGGCGGCATTGCCCTTGGCAGTAGGACTGTGATTGCTGTACCCTTTGTAATGGACGGCCTCGTCGCGATTGAATAAAATCAAACCGGTCCTGGTTCCGCTTTGTCCTATCATAGGTATTTGGCTGCCTTGGGCTTCAGTCTGGAATATACTGTAGCGTCATCTTCTCTTGGATATTGTCAATTAGAGCATGATACTCAAACAATATTTCCTCATCATTCATATAAGTTGAATCAATGATATCTGTAACAGAGTAGTGTTCAAATAGCTGTTCCCATTCAATCTTCTGGCAGTAGAAGACAAGCATAATTCCCCGTATTGTATCAGGGGTCATTTGATTGCGCTTATAATTACAGACAGCGCAGGCAGTACTAAAGACTCGCTCAACAAGAGCTTCTGAAGCAGGAATACAAAGTATATCCCGGGCCATAGCAGCAAGTCCAGGGAATAGTCTTTCGTTCTCTTTCCACCATTTTAATGGTGGCTGATGGGAGGGTGCTAATAAAAGTTAGTAGTGATTACTATAATTATTACTATAAACTTACGGAGGGCAAGGTATCGCTCAATCTCTCCTCCTTGATCTTCATTTTGACTAATGGAATTATAGCTCCGCTTCCGATTTAACATTAGAGCCATTGGGTCCTTGTCTAGTTCCATGTAGTTTGACTGGTGCTGCTTCGATCTTTCTTGGTTTGCGTAATGTTGTGTGTATAACGCCCGGAATTCCTTCTCAAAATGCCCCCGCCAGTTTTTATTAGGATTCAACCAACAATAATCAGGGTTAAAACGTCCATCTTTAACCGTGGAGATAGAATAGCACCAAAAGCGTAGAAGTTACCAATACCTGTACAAGATAAGCTATAATACTTATCAAGCTTTTGTACAGCTTTATCAATAGCTTTTAAGAGCTTTGGAATCCATGGATCTTGTAATGGTTTAAGCTGGCGGGTACACTCCTCAAGCCCTTCAAATAGCTCATCATATGCTGGGAGAACAAAGCCTAGTCGTGCACCACTTGCTATACCTATATTTGAAGTCCAGAAGCTAAACTGGCGAGTAACATCAATAAGGTAGGTGATATGTTTCCACCCTTCCGAAGTAATATGGAAGATAATAGCTGGAGTAAACTCAGTTGTAAACTTATTTACTGCTTCCTGGAGTAGGACCGCTCGTAGCATCATATGTAGTGTTGAATCCCACCGGGTTGACACATCTTGGATAAGTCGTAGGACTTTTGCTCCATCTTTAATGCATTGTCTTTGAATTCCCATAAATCGCTCTCTTCGCTGTGAGCTAGAATTCACAAAGACAGCTAGCTTCTGAAGCTAGTATAGTATTAGTTGTGATTACTATAATGATTACTATAAACATACCTTGGCAAGTGTCCATGGAAGGCCCTTTTCCTTACTTAGATCTTTGAGTTCGTCTACTGAATTGTCATCCCAGTCAATCTGTAGCTCTGAGTTTGATGGGTTTAATCGAATTGACCCAAGGAGAGCCTTCTGTGCAAGCTGAACAATATGTGCAAAGCATGGGATATGATGAATACGTCCATCATGGTATCTTGTTGGCTCAGATGATAACTCAGCTATCATATCGTTGATAATTGCCATCATTGAAGTATTGTTCTTGCATTATCAGTTGTAATGCAATGAACTCTACCATCTAGGTGATATTGAGATATAACACGCTGAACAATAGTCGCAAGGTCTTTCCCAGTATGGGCTCCATCGAGATACTCAAATCCAATTAGAGCTTCACGGTATTACCATTTCTCAGTGATGAATGTAGCCATAATACCCATGAAGGAGTGTCTTGTTCCAGGGCTAGACCAATTGTCAAGGGATAATGCACACCTCGACCCAGGAGCAAGACCATGAAGGGCAATCTGTTGTGCATTACCTACCATAACATCAAGGCGCCGCCGTAGGGTTGTTGGTGAAGGAAGTGGATATTTCTGGTTCTGCCATAGTGCCATCTCCCTCCATATAGGATTCTCAACTGATCGGAATGATATGTTTAGGGATACCACAGTCTCAAGAACAAAACTGTAGAAAGCTTCCCTTGGATCATCTTCTGGTTGGCGCATAGTCTAAATAATAGTTAGGCATATTTTATAGTAATAAGTATAGTAATCATGCTTACTGGTAATGATCCTGAAAGGCGGAGCTTGGATTGATGTAGTGTAGAAGTGTGAGATGATTTCCTCAAACATCCAGCTGATCGAAGATGGGAACTCATTGTGCTTGTCCCTGCACCCTTTACACTTAGGGTGATTGAGTATTCTAGAGCATTTCCGGCAAATAACAATTGGCTCTCCAGTTGATTTCCGAGCACCTTGGTCGAAGTCTCTCCATACATTTGAAGTCCTAGCTGTTGACCCCCAATTGATTTGCTTATCAGTACTTAGAAACAGATTTGGTTGCTCTTTATACCAGGACTGATGATGCCACCAGTCATTGAATAGTTCTGCTTTTGAAGGCATCCACTTTAGCACATTAAGACCTCGGATTGTAATTAGACCATCCCATTGGTCGCTTAGAGGCTGAGAGGACTCAACCTCAGGTGTTATGTTGCTTGATTGAGGATCATCGAGAGAAAATACATCACTATAGATATGTGTATGTATTGGTGAACTTAAAGATTGGCTATAAGACATAATATTTGAATATATCACGATTATATTATTTCAAAGAAAATAAAACAACTGAATATTTCCTAGGAAATATATCTATCCTATACGTATCTCTCTATTTTGCTTGAATTTACTTAGTTATAATATCTTAAATTACTTATGGAGTATATTTTAATAGCAAGTTTCAGTAATATGGGTCTTTGAGAACAAGAGCCAATTATGGTAATATTTATAGTAAGCTATAGAACCATAGCGTTAGAAGTAGTGGATTGAGCTACCTGGACTATTCTAAAAGTATGACTAGATCTACATATTGTAGAATTTGGCAAGAAGCTCTTCTGATTCCTTAGTAGGAGGTAACGTAGCCAACTTCTCGTCAGATGGCAAGACCCATTTGAAATCCACCAGCTCATCCTTCTCCCTCAGCATCTCCCAAGCCTTAAATGCACCAGTAGCATCTTCATCCAATTGAAATCCATGCTGAGTAGTGTCGTACCCATCAGGGTACCAATCAGCAGGTCCGGGAAGAGAAACCTGCCAATCCTTAAAAAATTCCATGACGCGAAGTTCCTCCAGACAGCTAATTGAAGCTTCGTGAAATATAGGTGAGGAGGGATCTTCTCGTAGTAGATTCTGTACGTATGTGTTAGCTGATTACTATAGTGATAGTGACTCTTACCCAGTCTCTGTAATGGTGGGTGCACCAGATATGAGAATCTAGCCACCCAAGGAAGGGATGAATTTACTAAGACAACACACTGTCTTAGGAAACAGAGCCAAAGGGTTGTAGCTTAGACTATTCCACAACGCAGCAATCAGGTGTATGATGTGGTGAAGTGGTTTAGACAAGTTGCAACAAATGTTGAGTCTGAGAACTCAGGGGTAAGTCAGAGGTTAGCACCTCACTGACTTTTCAAAAACAGAGAATAACAAGATCAATGCTTGGAAGCTTGGAAAAGACGTAGAAGTATGTGCTAGTCGATTTACTGTATTGCCTGCTTGCCCTTTCTTAAGGAAAGGGCAATCCTATTTATGCCAAAGGAGTGTAGTGTAACGCTGACTTCTAAACGATAGAAGGCACAGAGGTTCTCTTGCGTAAAGGTTTACTTATCAGAGGAGGCAGGGAATCAGACACAAAGACTTCAAGTAACACGTTACTAGTATATAACAAATACTGTATTGAGTTGAGCACGAAGCTCCTATCTAAGGAAATACTATCTACTTATATAGTGGCGTCGTGCCTAGTGGACTCTTGGGAACTCACTCGAGTCCTCGGAGTCCTGGACTCTTAGGATTCTTCTCATCATCCTGCGAGTCCGTCACGTGCCTAGTGGACTCCTGGGAACTCACTCGAGTCCTCGGAGTCCTGGACTCTTAGGACTCTTCTCATCATCCTGCGAGTCCGTCACGTGATACTTTCGGAACTACTATTCCCCGCTGCCCCTCCAGGTACCAGGGCCGGTCTCATGCGACCTCCCTCCTTCCTGTCCTGTAGTTGGCCAGCCTTCTTGTTCCGTCGTAACATGTAGTTCTCTCATTTTCCATGACTTTCCATGACTAACCAGGCTTGGTAAATGTATTAGAAATCAAGTGCGACCCACAACTAGCTTGCTAATCATGTAGCGAATGTAAGAGAATCCCATAGAACCATCTCTTGGGTTCCTAGCCTATAGGAAGTGAAAAGGAGGTCCAAGGTCAGAGTACCTATAGATAAATTATGTCATAACTTAACCAATCTTGTGGGTAACTAAGGAGCAATGACGTGTAATGAATCATAGAGGGTTGTAGAAGCTTCTAGAGCTATCGTTCATGTTCCTAGGCCTCTAGTTGGTAGAGATATGCCATGTGGTAGTATTGGCCCACCCCCTTAAGGAGGAGATTTTCTTAATAACTTGTTCAATGAGTGTCCAAATGATATGCCGTGATGTATGTAGCATAAACAGATGTAGTAGAAGAGTTTGCAGCAATCGTTGAGTAGTATTGCTTCTGTTGTTGGTGTGATAAGCCAAGATATGTATGGTGACTTATAGGTTTGAGGAGGAGATTTCTAAGTTTGGTCTTGAGTTTGATAGCAAACTGAGTGCAACGAATGTCAGTATGACAGTCTCCTCATCAATTGCTGGGGGAAGGTTCTTGAGGAAGTCGGGATCCGTATTGACTTTGTTCATGAGCTTCAGAGTTGACTTGTATGCCGTCGACCATTTGCGGCGCCAAATGGTGAAGGCAAGCTGCTCCACTCTCTGGGTCTATATTAGTATTAGTCCCCTAATAGTAGGGCTGATCATACCTTAGTTGAGGCTTCAGTCTGGGTCTCCACTTCCAGTTGGACCTTCTCAATCTCTTTAATCCCAATACCATTGGCCAACTCGTCAGCTCTCCACATAGCTTCCTGGGCAACTTCATCGTCCTCATCTTCAGTTTCCCAGGCATGGTTGTTGTCATCCCACACTGCGTACGCTCCTCCACCTTCTCCAACCCCAAGGTGTTGTTGAACGATAGAAGCATGGTTGCCATCCTGAATGCTATTTCCTGGCTACTATAATGATTACTATAACGTAGGAGAAGGGAGCTTACCGTCGGAGTCGCACCTCGTCCTTCTTAGACTGAACCTTCTCTTGTTGTTCAACTGGGCTAAGGGCTTTGAAAGCTTGTGTCTCCCGGATTTTCTTGATAGTGTATGCAGTAGCTGCTGTATCAGCCCTCTTTGCATTGTTGACCTTGAGTTCTTGTTCCGTCATGTTGTTGCAGTGGTTCTGTACACGCTTGGTGTTCTCGTTGGTCGACTTCTCAGTTGATTCTTTGCACTTTCCGACCATGGTGGGTGATGGGTGATTACTATAATGGTTACTATAAAGTAATTGATGGTAGGAGGGAGTAAAGACTTACCTTGGTGGTGGAGGGTGGGTGGGTGGACAGAAGAAGGCGACTGTGGTGGTAGAAGCTCGGAAATCCAGAAGAAGGAAGCTCGGGGTGGTAGCAGAAGTAGGAAGCTCGGAATGGTGGCAGAAGCTCAGAAATCCAGAAGTAGGAAGCTCGGAAATCCAGAAGAAGGAAGCTCGGGGTGGTAGCAGAAGGAGGAAGCTCGGAATGGTGGCAGAAGCTCAGAAATCCAGAAGTAGGAAGCTCAGAAATCCAGAAGAAGGAAGCTCGGGGTGGTAGCAGAAGTAGGAAGCTCGGAATGGTGGCAGAAGCTCAGAAATCCAGAAGTAGGAAGCTCAGAAATCCAGAAGAAGGAAGCTCGGGGTGGTAGCAGAAGTAGGAAGCTCGGGGTGGTGGCAGAAGTAGGAAGTTTGGGGTGGTGGCAGAAGCTTAGGATTCCTATTGTTGTTGTGTATTGTTATGGTAGAATTCACTTAATACGCCTATTACCATATAATGGGTGAAGCTCAAGATATTTCGCCAAGCGAGCCAGCAATTCACCCAGAACACAACACCCACCCAAATTTGGGTTTTCCTCCCTCAACCTTTCTGTTATTATGTGACAAGCCACTCACGGGTGGACTGGTAAGTGAACCACTCCTCTTATATTATAGTAATACTTATAGTAACACCTTGTCAGGGCAATATGGATGACGAGCCCTATGAAGATGTGGACCCTGTGACTTCAAGTTCAGATTCTGAAACGGCACAAGACGGTACTAGGGGTCCTAAGTTCATGGGTCGCCGTCGCCTTCCAACTACACCAACGCGCTCTAGCCAGCGTCAACCACAACTTCAATCACCTCCTCCAACCCAGCCTAAGGCTTCCCGAGGCCCAATCCCAACTCTTGCACCAGGCCAAGTACTTGTAACGCTGACTTCTAAATGATAGAAGACACAGAGGTTCTCTTGCGTAAAGGTTTACTTATCAGAGGAGGCAGGGGATCAGACACAAAGGCTTCAAGTAACACGTTACTAGTATATAACAAATACTGTATTGAGTTGAGCACGAAGCTCCTATCTAAGGAAATACTATCTACTTATATAGTGGCGTCGTGCCTAGTGGACTCTTGGGAACTCACTCGAGTCCTCGGAGTCCTGGACTCTTAGGACTCTTCTCATCATCCTGCGAGTCCATCACGTGCCTAGTGGACTCCTGGGAACTCACTCGAGTCCTCGGAGTCCTGGACTCTTAGGACTCTTCTCATCATCCTGCGAGTCCATCACGTGATACTTTCGGAACTACTATTCCCCGCTGCCCCTCCAGGTACCAGGGCCGGTCTCATGCGACCTCCCTCCTTCCTGTCCTGTAGTTGGCCAGCCTTCTTGTTCCGTCGTAACACTCGCTCCCTTCCCCTGGGCATTCGTCTCGAATCCTATAAGTACGTCCATGTCCCCGGGACTCTGCTGCTCCTCAGCGAGTCCTTCAACATGCAACATGCCTACTGACACTGCCCGCAAACTCCAGGAACGCAACGATCTTGTCCGTCGAATAAAGAACCACGGATACGAACTACCCGAAATGGATTCTTGCTCGAACTGCGTGAGGCGAAACATTACTTGCGTGTCGTCTCCAAATGATTCACGGCGGTGCGCCGAGTGCGTTCGTCGCAACTTGAAAGAAAAGTGTGACTGTATGGGTCCTGAGCATCCCGACTGGGTGAAGCTCGAACGGGAGGAGGATCGCCTGGATCGCGAAGAGGAAGAAACCCTTTCGAAGTTACTTCGTCTGCGGAAGCAGAAACGCCTCATCCGAACCCGTGGTAAAGATATGCTCCGGCGAGGTTTGAAAACCCTCGACGAGCTTGATGCGGCAGAGGAGGCCGAACGTGTGGCTGCTGAGAAGCGTGACGCTGTTGAGGCTGAGGAACAGGCAGTTAGCGCTGCCTCCTCGTCTGTGACCGGGACCCTCGCTTCCTCCGATCCACTGGCCTACTCCCCTGCATCTTGGGATCAATGGCTGGTGGATGGCGGCGTCGATATTCCTCCAGCAGTTCTTTGCTGATGTTCCTTGTTGGTTCCCACGAATTATCCGTAGGTTCGTAATTTTCCCATTTTATCAAAAACTCTTCTCGACGTCCTACTAACCTTCTGTCTAGGATCGCTTCGACCTCATATTCGATTATCTCATTCTCGGGTTGGAGTTCGGTGTCGGTCGCAATTGGGGTATTTCCTCTTGCTGGTTCCAGTAGTGAGACATGAAATACCGGGTGTAGTCTAGACTTCCTGGGTAGCTGCAGTCTGTAATTAACTGAGCTGACTTTGTTCAATATTTTGAATGGTCCCAATTTCTTGAAGTCCAACTTTGTGCTTGGTCGTTTCGTTTTGATATGTTTCCGGAGTAGGTATACTTTATCCCCCTCCTTGAAGGCAGGTTCCATACTGCGCTTCTTGTTTGCGTATGCGGCGGATCGTTCATTTAAGAATTGGATGTCCGTCGCAAGTTGTTCGTGGAACGATTTCAGTTGTTCCACCACGATCAGGGCTTGTTCAGCTCGTGATTCATCCGGTCTTGGTTGCCTATATGCTTCTGGCTGGTAGCCATAATTGGCAAAGAACGGTGAGACTTTCGTTGCTTCTGTCATCGCGCTGTTATATGCAAACTGTGCGATGGGTAAGATCTGAACCCAGTTATCCTGTTGATGATTGACATAGCTTCGCAGGTACTGTTCAAGGGTCTGATTTAATCTTTCTGTTTGGCCGTCTGTCTGGGGATGAAAAGCTGTTGATAGCTTATGATTTGTTCCCAGTAGCGCCATCAATGATTTCCAGAATTTCGAAGTAAAGAGCTTGTCTCTATCTGAGATGATTTCTTCTGGCATCCCATGATCGGCTAATATGACTCGAATGAAGGTATATGCGAGCGCCTCGGCGTCGCTAGCTTCTAGATATGGTATAAACTTCCCATATTTCGTGAGTCTTTCCGTGATGACGAGGATAGAGTCGTATTCTATTCCTGTTAACGGGTCCTTGGAGGGTGGAAGCTTGACGATGAAGTCCAAAGCTATTGATTTCCACGCTCCTTTTGGTACTGGTGTCGACTTGAGTTGTCCGTATGGCAGATGCCTATTGGATTTTGACTTGCTGCAAATGTCGCACTCTCTTACCACTGTCTCTACCTGCTTCCTCATACCTGGGAAGTAGTAGTGTCGAGTGATTCGTTCGAAGGTTCGTGTTACTCCCTGATGACCGTGTGCTGGTAACGAGTGTTGTTCTTGCACCAGCGGGCGTCTCATTTGACTTGGGACATACACTAACCCTTTGTATCGAATCAATCCTTGTTCGTCGATGGTGAAGTCGCCTTCGACTTTGGACAAGACTCGCTTGGCGCATTCGTCTGTTGCGTAAGCTTTCTTGAGTCTTTCCTCGAGTTCTGTATCTTCGATGACTGAGATCGTCGCTAGTAACTCGTTGTACTGTATTCCTGCATCTGTTTTCTTCAGAATTGCTCTAGGTCTTTCTTCCTTTGGGCCGGCGTAGTCGGTCCGTCTGCTGAGAGCGTCTGCTCTTGCATTCTCGGAGCCCTTGCGATAGGTTATCGTGAAGTTGTAGGCTGCGAGGGTTTCTGCCCAGCGGACTTGTCTGCGGTTTAAAACCTTGGTCGTGGTGAAGTATATGAGGTTCTTGTGATCCGTCCATACCTGCACAGGGTAGGTGGATCCCTCAAGATATACTCGCCACTGCTCAAAGGCAACGACAATAGCCAGTAGCTCCTTGTCGTGGATGTCGTAATTGAGTTCCGCGGGTGACAGTTTCCTAGAGTAGTACGCGATTGGTTTGAACTTACCGTTCTCGTCTGGTTGATTCAGACATGCTCCAATTGCGAAGTCAGAAGAGTCCGTTTCGAGGATGATCTTCTTTGCAGGGTCAAATGTAGCAAGGATAGGTGCTTCCGTGAACTTCGTCTTAAGTTCCTGGAAAGCAGCCTCTGCCTTGTCCGTCCATTTGAATTCGAGATCCTTTCTGGTAAGCTCTGTGAGTGGTTGAGCTACCTTGGAATATCCCGAGATGAATCTTCGGTAGAAGTTGGCGAAGCCTAGGAAGGCTTGCACTTCCTTGACCGTGGTCGGTGTTGGCCATTCCAACACTGCCATTACTTTTGCTTGGTCCATCTTGATGCCGTGCGTTCCGATAATGTAACCCAAGAATTCGACTTGGTTTTTATGGAACTCGCACTTCTCTGGTTTGAGGAGTAAGCTGTACTCCTTTAGTTTCTTCAGGACGAGTTTGACATGCTTGACATGCTCCTCCTTGGTTGCTGAATACACCAGGACATCGTCTAGGTAGACAATGGTAAAGATGTCTAAGTATTCGTGCAAAGCATCATTCATCAGTCGTTGCATGGATGCGGGTGCGTTTGTTAGCCCAAAGGGCATGACTTGATACTCGAATAGGCCATAGCGGGTGCGGAATGCTGTTTTCCACTCTTCCCCAGCCTTGATTCGGATCAGGTTGTATGCTCCTCGCAGATCTAGCTTACTGAAGATCTTTGCTCCTTGAAATCTATCGTGTAGTTCGTTGATTAACGGCAGGGCATACCTGTCCTTGATTGTGATGTTGTTCAACGCTCGATAGTCCACACATAACCGTAGGGAGCCGTCTTTCTTTGGTACGAAAAGCACCGGACTTCCTGCTGGTGATGTGGATGGTCTGATGAATCCTTTCGCTAGGTTATCATCGATGTACTCCTTAAGTACCTTCAGCTCCTTTTCCGATAGCTGATATATTGGTCCGAACGGTGGACTCTTGTCTTTCTCCAAAGGTATCTCGTGATCCCATGGTTGGTGCTTAGGAAGCGCCTCGTTCTTAGGGCCTTCCTGGAATAATCGCTCGTATTCCTTGTACTCCACCGGTATACTCGTCGGTGAGGATGCCTGGGCTAGGTCATCGAGCTCGG